CCCCCCCCCCCCCCCCAAAAAAAAAAAAAAGGAACATTCAGTTTAACATAATAAAATTAAACATAGAACTCCATTACTGTATGCTGATTCTCTTGTGTTTCCTTCACCATCTACAAAAGAGCCAAACTGACAAGAAGCAAGCTGATGACAGTTGCGCCCATGGTCATCGATGGCGCGGCTCCGGTAAAACCTGGAAGGTGGGGGACAACAATTTCATAATTAAGGGAACTTAGGATTAGTGAGAAGAACACAATTAGTGATATTGTATGTTGGGAGGGAATAAGAGGACTTAAATGGCTGGGAAGGAGCCGTTGGCTCCGGCTCCACTGGGCATACAACAGTTGAGATGGGGATAGCCTTAGGCTAAGACAGTTTGGTATCCGCCAGCCGGACATGAGGGAGGACAGCTCGTCGCCGTCTCGTATATTGTCTTGTAAATGATTGACTGGTATAATTGGACTCGGAGGGTTCAGATGGCTACGGAGAGATGGTTGGCTCCACCTCAACAGGGCAGAGTATGTGTCGTTGAAACCAGCATATTCTTGTTGATGAGTATGCCCAGCCCAATAGTTTGTTGCACTAATTTCACCAATTTGTTAGAAAGCCCAAGATTTCTATTCCAGAAAGATCCTTGCTCACAAAACCAAAAAATTGAAATCTTTGAACGAAGAAAATTGGCCACTGGCAGGATCTTTCCATCAAAGTCTTTTTTTGAGAATCGGAACAAGGGCATCTGCCAAGCCAACTAAGTTATTGATCGATAGAATTAATGATAGGAAAACAAGACAAACGGTACATGGTATCAACCGGAGGGCGCCTACAGTACCAGCAGACTGCTGGAGAGCAAAGGCAGACAACAAAGCGGACACGGAGGTGACCTTCATGTTGAAAGAGCGGCAAACTCTAATGGCTTAAGATTAGAATACTTAAAGTGGGATATCATCGATACTTCAAGATATGAATGCGAATCAACTTAGGAAGCGACAGTGTAGTTTCAAGATTAACGAATGACAGCTTCAATAAAAGAGTGACGACGTAACTAATACCGAAATTCTTGAAGGAAGAACTCTGCACAAAAAGGTCGTCACGATCTGGGGATCCAGCCTCTACCATTCTGAGATGAGAAAAATCCTTAGGCCACGCCGAAAACAATTTGCCAGGGACAAACCCTCTACTCCGCTGTGCTGCCACTAGCAAGATCGTAGAAGGCTTTCAGGGACAGGACTAGACGCTGTGCTCCAGCTCCGCAGCTAGATAGTTCCCTAAGATTGATTCCAGCGACGGCTTGGAGGCCAGGCAGCATGAATGCATGTTAGCTGGTTTCTTCTCTAGGTATGATTCGCACACCTCTCTTTGGCCTTTGCGTTGATATCAACAGGATAAAACTGATGCAAAAGATGAGGACTTCACGTAGACTCGGGAAGACAGCACCACCAGGTCACTGCTAAATCCTTCCTGGAACTTTGTGACACCCTAACTACCTAGTCATAGAGCTATCAATCATCATCACGCAAAGCGTCAAACGAAATGGTTACCTAGATGTTAATAGTCTTGCATGTAGCCATAATGTGCATGTAGAGCATATTTGAAATGGCCAAATATTCTCTTCGTCTCATGCGTTCTTCTTCTCTTCTCTGGACCCTTTGCTATTCTTCCGAGTAATCCTCGGCATATTTTCTGTTTACAAGCGGCGCAGCAGTCTAAATAAAAGCGTTAGGGACTGCGGTGCCAAGGCATTCTCTCTCGAATCTTTGTTTCAATCAAACAGATCAAAGGTTTTCTTCTTCTTTGTTCGTTGATTCAAGCACACCTAGCATGAATTTATGAGATTGAAATGAGATTAATTCCGAGGACATAATTATTGAAAAACTGTGCAGCGGATAAATGGCACAGCCATTGCATAACAGGTAATTGCCTAATTAATATAGGTATCAACTTTTCTCCCCTAAATCACCACCACTTCCCGATACCGGATTGATTTTCCTGACAATTCTCGGTAGGAGAGAGTTTCGTAGTAGAAGGAATGCTTGTTGTCTAGATCAACAAAGGTCCAGCAGTCACATTCTGTGAGGAAAAGAAAGGTTTGCCTGCATAGGGCAAGTTTGGGTAGATCAACTCCTGCGAACTCTTCATTGCAGGTTGGTCAAAGCTGCCAGGGGCGAGTAGAAAGGGAGAGACGATGGTTTTTGAAAGCCTTAAAAAAACACATACTCTTAACAAACTGTGTCAGTGGATGGTTTAGCATTGGGGCAGTTTTTAATGAAATGTAGAGAGCACTTTCAAGCTTTCTGGTAACTGGCCGAGCGGAACTGACGAAGTCCACAAAAAGAACTTTGAAGAAACCGTGGAAATGGTTTGTTTATTTTAAGTGGGATAAGGTAACTACTTAACTAGGGTTTATGGGTCCGCGGTTTCGGACCGAAGAGCTACCAAATAACCGTGCCACGCGCACTCACTAACGTAATCCACCACCCAACGCCCGTTTACACCCAACGCCCGCCATTTCGCCATCACTATGATGAAATATTTTCAATGTTATTTCAACAACGCAATTAGATTTCAAGATGATATATTATATGATGAAAATATATATAGAAAATTACATATAAAAATATATAGCTAATTCTGTAGACATTTGTTTGACTTAATAACTTGCCTGAAATGTGAAATCCTGGATGGAGACAGATTCAGTGAGCAAGCAGTCATTAAATCAGTAGAGATTGCAATATTGCCAGATCACTCAGGCAGTGAATCCACAGGCATCCTGGCAGGGTTCTGAAAATGTGATTTAGCCACTCTTTGTGAAATCAAAGGTCTACTTTTCTGATTAGAAAGGTGATTTTTGAATTCTTCAATCATCTTCTTATTCAATCATGATTGTAGCTGTACAGCAGCTCATTCTTCCTTTTCTTTTTGCTCCTGAGTCTTTTTCTCATCTCTAAGCTCCTTGTCAATCTGCTGTTGAGCAGCTCTTGTGATCTTATCCATCTCCTTTTGCTCCTTTGCTGCCTGATGAGCTGTCTTTCACTTCATCTGCTGTGACATGATATCTGCCTTCTTCTGCTTCTTAAGAATAGTGTGTTGCAACTTGGCATCCTTCTTACAGGTCTGTTCATTCTTTTTGATGATCTCTGCAGCAGTCATCTGCTCACAGATGCTCTGCATCTTTGTCAGTGAAAAGAACTGTGTCAATGATGAATTTGAATGATCTAGCAATCTCATTGCCCTGCCACACTTGCAACATCTTCTCTCTTGATTAAGAGCTTGCTGTAGTTGTCTGTTCTCTATTAGAAGAATCTCTTTATCAAGAGCAAGATTTTCCTCTGCACAGATCACCTGATTAAGATCATTAGATATTTGATGCTGCTGTTGCTTGACTTGCTTCATCAATTTTCACAGATCAACAATAGAAGTAGATGTTCTTGATTGATATATTGCATCTGAAGGGATGCAAGATTGTATTTGAAGCTTTTTAAGAATGTGTTCTGGACTGAATGAATGTAGGTCAGTAGCAGCAAATGCAGCTTCAATATTTGAAGATGTAACTGCCTCCTTCCACACAGTGTCAAAAAGCTGTCAAAAAGACCTCTTTGTAGTATGTATGAATCCCATTCCAGTTCTCATTCATTCATTCAGTTGTTTGAAATATGATTTACTCAATGATTCAAATATCTCAACATCTAGTCACTGTAATCAGTGTGTAGAATGAGAAGGAAAGACAATGAGTAGAATTCAATTCTGATCTGCATAATTGATGAATGCCATATTAACATGAGATGAGTGATCATTCAATATAAGAAGTCTATATTCACAACCTGTCTTCTTTTTTGTAAGAGGTTCAAAGATCTTCTTTAATCACATTAACTCATATTCATCATTGCTTCACTCATTTTCTGAAGCAGTGAAGTAGACCTGATCCTTTTCACTATCAAAATCTTCAAGTCAAGTATCTTGCATATCTCTTGATTCTTCTTGATATATGAGAGCAGGTGGAAGTGAAGTTCTATCTGTGTAAATTGAGACAAGTAGTGTTATGAATTCTTGACTGCCATCCTGGCTGGCACCTATCATACAGTCTGATTTGAGTGAATTAATTGATACAATACATTTGAGGGTGTGAATGAATTCTAATAGGAATTCTTTCTCATCAAAGTTGTAGATATTTGCAGATTCAAGATTGTATTTCATGATTTTTGCCTGCAGCTGAAAAATTAAGATAAATTAGCAAGATGAGAATTAAAAAAGCAGTATAAGAAAGAAATCTATTACAAGATCAAAATAATGCTTGGAGTATGCAGAATTGTCTGCAATCTTGTGTTTTTGATTGATATTTCACAAGTAGAGTGACTTGATCACATCCTTGTGGCACTCACAGAACTGAGTCACCCAGTTGACTTCAATAGATGCTTTTAGAATCTCAACAATGAGATTATGAAGGATTTGGGGTGTACAAGGGAAACTGAGATCTGCCAATTGATTGATATGAAAAAGGAGCCATTTTTCTTGCAAATCAGTGAGAGCTTTGCAGTGGATAGAGCTTGCTTCCTTTCTTGACATTTGAACACCTCTATAATGCCTTGACAACATATATCAGCTGATTCCATATTTTTTAGTGGTCTCAGTGTAATTAGGTGTTAATTGCGTGTTCAAATCATCAATCGCGGCTTGTATAGCTGCTTCGTGGTGCATGTTGTGAGTGGTTAAAGATGAATGAAAAATGAAGATTTGAGCGGGCGTTGGGTGTAAACGGGCGTAGGGTGGTTGATTACGTTACCTCCCATTAGTGAGTGCGCCCCACTGTAAAGAAAATATCACCGTAATGAAAATCATCTAGGATCACCAATCTTCAAAAATTAATTAATGGTCAACACCATGCCTATCTATAATATAATGATTATCTATGTACTCATTAGAGCGTGTAGAATCTCTGATAGATTGAGATTCATTAATAACATCATGTTGTGGTTGGTTGGCATTTGATTTGGAGACTTTGATCCCAACTGACTGTAGGGCTCTATTCCTCTCTTTTATTGATTCCTCTTTCTTTCGATACTTGATCTTGCAATTGACATCCTTGATAGTGAGGATCCCCCCTACCTGCACCTGCCTGCAGCTGTTTTTGACAATCTGACATCTATTCATCAAATAATGAGCAGATAACTCATTCTCTCAATGTGCATTCAATTCTGCCTGTATCAGACTCCCCTTGAAGATCTTATCCAATCACTGAGTCAGACCAGGTGTCAAAGTGTTTTTCATCTCTTCTATGATCTTATCTGCTGCCTCAATTTGATGATGTAGTTTTATGACTGTATCTGGAGATATCAACTGAGAAGATGCAGTGGAGGATCAGGTCTCAGAAGGTGAAGTAAAACTGAAGCATTCTTCATCACCATCATCATCATCATCATAAACAAGCAGCTCTGGGCTGTCATCTATATTATGTTATCTCACGCATTGAAGGATTACTTCTTGTTTGATTGGATAGATTCCACAGTCAGCAAATCCAGCTCTGATGATGGCAGGTTTGAAGATTTGATGATGAACACTCTCTAGATTAGCAAGGAATTGCCTCCCATTATATTGTTCATATTCATATCAAGCAGCCTTGTTAACTGCTTTTGTATGATAATGCTTATATTGCTGGAAAGGCACACCATCAAGAGATTGCAGTAGATGACTTGCATGAGATGGAAATTCAAATATAATGATGTTATGAAAGTCACAATATTGAAGAAATTCTTTAGTAAGATGAGATCCATGATTGTCAAGCAGTAATAATTGATGACTGTCAATCTGGCATTTCTTAGTGGCAGTATTAAAATGTTTTATCTATTCAAATCTAATCTCATCATTAGTGAAGCCAGTGTCAGATATGGTGATGGCATAATTATCAGGCAGGTTGAAGTGTATATATCAATCTTCTAGATGAATCTTTGATTTTATTATAATCAATGACTTCAACATTGTGTCATCTGCACTGATGCATTCCACCACTGTTATTAACCTGTGAGAATATGATGATTGTATGACAGAATTGACACCTTGATAGGCAGTTATAACCCATTGTCCACAGTCTTCTCCTTCTTGAAACCCAATCTCATTGAAATTATAAATGTCACTGGTGTGGAACTTATACTGATTGAAGACAGATTTGTAGCAGTTGAACCAGTTGATAACAAAGCTCATATTCTCATTTGACACTCATTTTGGATTCATAGGTTTCTGCTTGATCCTCTTATAACCTGGCAGACATTTGATGAATTGATACACCCACATCTTGCCCACGGCAGGAGGAGGGGTGTCTGGATTGGTATGATAACAACTCAGCATTCAATTTGCAGCAGCTTCGATATGTTCAACTGTAGGAGGACAAAAGTTTTTATCCAGTTGATGAATCCACTTCTTGATTGCTTCCTCCTGGCTGTCACTCAACATTCAATTGATTGGAGCCCTCATATTCCTTGATCTCTTTCCCTTAACGCGTCCATACAGAGTTCCATATGGAATTTTGAATTCTCGCGCCACATCTGTGATTTTTAAATTTGGATTTGATTTTATGGTGTCTAATGCCATCTGAATCTGATCTCCCGAATATTTAATATTTTTAGGCATGGTGGTGGTTATTAAATTTTGAAGATTGGTGATGAATATACAAGAAAGAGATTTTTGTTACGTGATATTTTCTTTACGGTGGGGCGCACTCACTAATGGTGAGTGCGCGTGGCACGGTTAGTTAAGTAACTGGCCAAACCTTGTGTGCTAAAGATCTATCCATGGCACACCAGCTACGGAGCAGATAGATAGATGTCTTGCGAGTATTATTCAAGGAATATCACTAGGAAGGTAGAATGTAATCGAACATTTAACATTGAATATACCAAGCAACTATAACTTCCATTGGCAATTATTTCCATCAACGTTTATAGTTTCTGTATCTACAAGCTTTCAAACCCAATATCCCGAGAGCCATGAAATGATCAATTCCGTGAGAATTGGAAACATCCAGCCGTAGAAAGCATGGATAAGGGGGGAGAAGAGATCAAAAAGGGGGAGAGACGCGAAATAACCAAAAGAATATCATTGCTGGTTTGCTTGCTGTTTTAAAATCAACAAAGGATGGGAGAGAAAAATTTTTTTATTGTAGGATGGAGATTTGTGCTTGTTGGAGAGAATGAGGGGAAAGGAGTGAGAGGAACGCATGCAGCCTGTAAATAAGCAAACTAGACACAGAAAATCTCGTGCTGATAACCACAAGGAGAGGGAATTTTGAAATAACATTTGGGGTGAAAGGTTCGTAAAGCCAAAAATGCAAAACACGAAGGAACTTACAACGAAGATTTGGGAACACACAAGCTGATGCATAACGAAAACACATAGACTTCATCAAAGCATTCTGCCCTACCATTATCATGTAAATTCAGAAAGAAAGAAAAAAACACGTTATCATTGATATTCCGATAAACAATTTTCTCTACAAGAGAATAAAAATAACAATAAGAATAACAACGAAAGAACGTATGATACTGCAAAACATCTTAGGGCTGAGCAACACTCATTGTAACAGCGGCATAATATAACTCGTTAAAGGCGCTGCGAGAATCTCCTGCCTCAACTCATTTTCCCACGGAGGAACCATTGCCGTTTCCGCCGTCAGCATTAAGAATGAGAAAATACATTCATTAAGCCGCTCCCACGACGGCCTACTAAGTCGTTTTGCAATCTTAAGCATTCTCCCGACAAACCACGGTCGTGCAGAGGGGAGGGGTTCAAGTTCGAGTTCCCGTTCACGTTCCGATCCCGGTTTCATTGTCGGCGTCTCCATGGTCATTGGCTGTCGCTGTTGAGCAAAAGTCGGATAATCGTAGTCATCATCACTGTTGACGAAACCGAACGTATCATCACATGTCAGTAGGATTTGCAGGAGTGCTTCGACAGAGTTGTTAAAATTGATTTCGCTCGCAATGAGTTGGCGCTGTAGGCCATCTAGGAACGATTCGGCTTTGTGGGGGAGGTGGCGATAGTCCCATAGGGCGGCGTTTATCATCATTAGCGCTGCAAGACGGGATATTATTTGCTTCCTTTCTCCGGGAATGGAGTAGCGGATTCCTGGTGGGGAGGAGAGAATTCGGAATAGCAGGGTATCTGGTTGGAATGCTGAATAACGGGTAGGAAAAATTCGGTGGAGGTTTGAGGACTTATGTGTGAAGGATAGGCGCTCGGAACGGTGGAGGAAGGAAAGGAATTCTTCGCATTGGCTGTGGATTTCGCCAATGGGGGTAAGAAAAGATTGATTTCCGGTAATTATAGGTTGGCCCGGAGAGCTTTGGGACTGCGGAGTGGTACGTTCGTAGAAGAACGAGGGACCTTTCGTTTCGTAGCCTGCTAGTATGTAATCTTGCCAGTTGATTAACATGGCCAGCCTTTGATTCTGTTGAAAAGCAGCAGGTCCTCCTCTAGCACGAATCTTCTCCATCGCGGCACGCATATGGATCCAGCTTATTGGCTTTCGCTCCGGGCGTGGATCGAAGTCTTCCACCGCAGCACAGCTGAGTGTTGCAGAGATGGCGGCATCTGAGTTGTCTGTGGGATACTTCTCAAAATGCTTCCGTAACATTTCGATACCACGGGCACGATGAGTAAGGGCTGCTGGCGTCTCTGACAGTCCCTTTACCCACGCCTGGGTATTGGCTGCATGTACGAGAATGGTGTTCTGGAATGATATATCCCCTTTCATGGCTTCCGGTATGAAAACAAGACTGTACCAGTTATGCTTGGGTGACTTGGTCTCGAAACCGTATGAGCATGACGGCATCACATTAGCGTAGAAATCGAATAAAAATTTTGCCTCCTTGTCAAGCGACATCGGTAAACTGTCGAAAGGGTCGGTTCGCGCTGCGCTAAGCAGTGTCTGCGGAGTTGGAGATAAGCGCCTAGGTGACACGGAGCCAGAAGGTGACCACGAGGATAAACTGAGCAAATCAGAGGATCCGCCGCTGCTTTGAAATCCGGCATCATGGGTTGCTTCTGTCTGATAGTCATCTCCTAACGGTCCATACCAGCACGATTGCGATGCTGATATGGGAAATCTACCATCTTCGAATGGTTCATATTCCCATTCTGGGCCAGCTGGACGCAGAGGTATTGGACCGGCTAACCGCCCCAATGCAGAGGATGTCTCCCAGTTAATGTTGTTGAAGTAAACATCATCGAACGTGTGTTCCAGTTCATCCGTTATCTTCATGTCCGCATAATCCCAATATTTGCCATCTTCCTGGGGAGGAACTAGCCGTTGCGATTTCTGGGAATCGCGGGCTGCCCCTTGTTTCTTCACTTCTCCATCATTACAACCACTACTAGATCCAACACATGTCTTTCCCTTCCGATCATTTGGTGCCTGTCTTCGTCCTCGAGGGCGCCGTACTGACCGATTTCCACGACGAGGTCTATCTTCCTCCCCTGCATTTGAATCAACATCACCGTCCGCATCCATGTCCTGTCGTTGCTGCTCCTTCCATTTTTTTTGACGCGCATATTCTAGCATGACATGGCGCTTGACAGTTGTCAAACTTGCCGGATTGTTTGGCGATGCATCGATGAACTTATATCGCTTGGGAGGGTTGCGGGTTCGGTCACAAGGAGAAGAGGAGGACGGCGACGGATCTTTTGCAGGGTCAGACATGGTAGCTGGGCTTGTGGAAAGCAGTTAGGGAGTTGCCGGTCATCTGGTTAACTACAGGAAGGTTGAGGGTGGATTTATAATTTATACAGTTGTTCGTGCGACTCAAACCACGGCGGAACGCATTGGGGGCGGTGGACTCCGGGAGGCTGCGGAAGGCTGAAAGGAGTAGGCCGCAGGTGAGTAGCAAACAGGGAATAAAGATAGAGTAACCCGTCACTAGAGGCAGTCGGAAGGATATGGCCAACTTATTGAGGAGAGGGGAGTCAGCGGTCTTGTAGATCGAGGTATCAGAATGTTAACGCGGGAGATCCTCTTGTATCGCGGGGAAGCGATGGAAACGTCCCCTCTTGGTATTAGTTCACATATATTTTAATTAGTTAGTTATTATAGTCTGTGTCTTCCTACCAGCATTTAGTTAAAGGGTCAACTTGCAAACCTGGAGACTGGAGTGCAGCGAGAACTCCTGTCGCCAACATGTAGGTAGCGCATTATTGCCAATGGCCTGGACCTGGTATTCCTGCCAGCGATAAATCTAACTACCCTAGAGCAAGTCAACGTTAGCTGCAGGCTGATGAATAACGTTTGAAAGTTGCGACTGGCGCAAGTTGAGATGAGCAGCCGAGTTGGATGTTATTAGTTGCTGATGGCTGCTGCATTCTATTAGCGCGTATTGAGATCCATCAATATGTAGTAACATAGACAGACAGCTGATGATCATCCAGTCCGATCAGCTATGTGGTTCTCTTTATCAAGAGCGTGTGTCTTGTTTCTGTTCTTTAAATAACTGTTGCTGCTCTCAAGTGGTTTGATACCTGATACTCCATAACATCACTCCACAGCCGATCGATCATTGGGGAGACACGCTAAACCTCGTTAAGTGATCGGGCCTTGTTGACCTCGGGAAGCTCTCAGCTCTCTGATCCTCTCCTCAATTCTGCGTCAGAAGAGAATCCTCAAGTAGTAAAACCTTTGGATAAAAAAATATGGTCAAAATATAGCCCCAAGTCCCATTCATCGTCCTTTTCCTCCTCCCTCTGGACATGCCGCAACCCTCTCGCCTCATCTGAATTGACTTCTGCAAAGAGCCCTATCACTTCCATATCCGATATGTCCTTCTGACCCTACGTCCAATCCCTCTACTTGTACTGTTTAGTACATACAAAAATACAAATAGCATATCAATATTCCCCAGATATTCATTCACCCTTCCTCTATGTGCCTACACTAGCAGTTTTGGCTCCGGAACAGAACGCGTCCAAAGCTTCCACGCCGCGAAAACCCTCGAATCTTTCCCCGCCTATTATACAACACTCTGTCTCCCCAACCTCCAACCAACACCACCATGTCCTGCATTGGCCCTCTCTACAAGATAAACGGATCCAGCTACAGCTAGATTCTCTTCATCCTCCCACCCTTCCCTCCCTTCGAGCAACTTCCTCTCAGTCAGTGTTTGTCGATATCCGAGCGCGAACAAAAAGCATCAATAATGTTAGGAGCCGCTGCCGACATGGATATTGATCCAAATGGCCCTCCTAGGCCTGCTGCCACTACGTCTGCAAACCCTAGTGTTAACCCCTATGAGACGGACCCAGAGAAATTACCACAATCAGATCAATTTCTGGCTCGACATACTCACTACGGCCGATATCACCCCAGCTCCGACGACTTCAAACCTGACCATATTCACTGCCACATAAATAATGACGAATCGCGTCGCTACTGGGAAACGGTCCTTGCACAATGCAATGAGAATACGCGCATCAATTCTCCAGCAGCTGGCAAAAGAGATACATTCGCACTGGGAAGCGTGATAGTGAAAAGTGACCACATGTCTACGGAACCCACTGGGGACTACAGCGTCGTGGATGGGAACATGGCGCATGCCATCAAGATCGCAGAGAAAGTCCTACCAGATCTTCAGTTGCCGCAGATATATCTTAGGGCAAAAATTAACGGTAGAGATATTCTTGTCCAGTCACGCATTCCGGGGGTTTCTTTGGAAGTTGCGTGGCCATACCTTACCATGGTGCAAAAAGAAGACTTCAAGCAGCAGGCACGAAACATATTACAGCGAATCGACCGTGTTAGAGACGGCCGTAGCAGTCCATCGTACGTTGTCAAGGGAGAAAACCCAAAGGAGGAGCACCAGTTGCAGCAAACCGAATACGACATCCTCTTTGAATCTGCCTCCACTTCAGATAAGAATTTAGCTCTTGCCCATAACAACTTGATCTCCTCCAATATAATCGTGGATAATGACACCATCATTGGGATCATTGGGTGGTGTGATGCTGGCTACTTCGGCTGGGATCGAGCCAAAAATGTTCATTGCAGAGTCCGATGCACTGGCTCTAGCGACACGTCCTCTGGCTTTGGCGGCGAAAACCCCCTGCCAGATGGCTTTTGGCGCGATCTTTACGATTTTCCCGTTAATCGTTCTGACCCCTCTTCCTTGGTTACCGGTAATGTCAGCGCAAAGCTTGAAATCAAGGCTGAGCAGCCTTCGCTAAATCTGGAAAGTATTCCCGGGACTTCGACAGCTGATAACCCACTTCCAACAGGGGAATCATGGACACCAAGGAAGATCACTGATCTTAAACGAGAGTCCATGTCCCGCGCTTCATCCGCAGACCGTTCATCCCCAGTACCGTCAACGAAAGCCGGAGGTACCGGTGTCGGAACGAAGAAGAGAGCTGCTCCGTCCTCCAAAAAGGGAACTACTACCAGAAAGCCTGCTCCCAAGAAGCGCAAACTGAACCAGAATGATACTGAGAGTGTAGATGGTCCTGCCTCCCCGCATAGACGGTCAGACACCCCGGTGTCTTCACGTGCAAGCAAGGCTCCGACTGCAAGGAGTAAAAAGCAAACTTCGTTGTCCATTGGGAGTTCCCCGGCACCGGAAGCTAAAAAAGTTGGAAAAGCACATGAATATCAAGAAGAAGTGGATGAGGACGGTGAAGAGGAAGATCTCTCTGAAGTATTTTGTATTTGTCGAAAGCCTGACAATCATACATGGATGATTGGATGTGATGGTGGATGCGAAGATTGGTTCCATGGGAAATGTGTGAACATCAACCAGGAAGATGCTAACCTGATTGATAAATACATTTGTGAGCCCCTCACCCCTCTATGCCTATTTCAATATTTCGAGTCCACAAGCTGACATCCATAGGCCCTGCATGCGAAGCGAAAAATGGAACCCACACAACTTGGAAACGGATGTGTCGCCTCTCTGGCTGTCGACAACCAGCGCGTATTTCTGGAGGGGCGATCCCCAGTAAATATTGCACTGACGAGCATGGTCGAGAGTTTATGCGCCAGAAAGCATCACTTTCAAGACCCGGATCAGCTTCTGGACATCCATCTGCTCCTAACACAGCAGCAGCAGATGGTCGATCCAGTGGATCGGTGACGGTTGGAAGACGTCGCCAGAAATGTATCCAACGTGACGATGCGAAGGTAGAAGCAGCAAATCCAGAACTTACCAAGTCAAACAACCGTGATGATGAAGAGGAGGATGAATTCGACTTGGAAGCAGACGAAGCTGAAGTAGAAAACGGAGAAACCGAAGACCTGGGTAGTAGAGGTGGCGTCCTTAGTAGGAGTGATCTCAAAGCTGTAGTCATGGGCGTTAAGTCAGCACAGGAATTTCGTGGACTGGGTGACAACATCCTACCTCCACTTGTTGCAGAGAAACTAGCTATATCTACGGACATTGACGCAAAGATATCTGCTTCATCCGGACCCAAAACCAACAACATCATATCTCAGATTAACGATCAAACAGACCTGGACCTCGAGGCGCATCAGATCCAGTTCACTGCCAATGAGCGCCAGCACATTAAAAATGTCCGCGACAGGCGAACACAGCTCCGCAACCAGCTCGACATGCTCCGGGACCGCGATACATTCCTCACACTGATTCGTCAGCGAGCAAAAACTATCCTTGAGCTCCTCCGCCAGGCAGATCCGAAAAGCGGTGCGTCAGCATGGAAGGATATCTGCGGATATGATTCACGCCTGTCATGGTCTGATGATGAGTTCAATGAGTGGAGATTTTCTGATGTTGGTAAGGAGGCGCTTCGTTCTGGGGTTCTTGAAGCTGCCGCTTCTGGAGTTGATGGGAGCGGGGACGTTGAAATGCAAGGTGCAGACGCTGGTGCGGATGGAACTGATAAGGCGGTTGATAGGATTGTTCGAGGAGTTTGTATCAAGAAGCGCTGTGAGAGACATAGACAGTGGGTTAAGGTTCAGCAGCAGGATATGCATCATGAAGAAAGGATTGCGAGGGAGGAGTTGGAGAAATGCGAGAAGGATGCCAAGGATGCTATTGGGCGGGTTGTTTTGCGGCTTTACAGCGATGAGGATCGTGGGGAGCTTTCTAATGATATTCCTGCAAGATAATCATGTCTTGATCCCGATGATTTTGTTGCTTTAATACTCCGGTCTGGTGTGGTCTGTTCTTGTTTGGCCTGCTTTTCTCTTGCTTTAGTTTCGAGAATCGATCGTGGTGCCGCTTATGGCCGATGAACCGCAATGGTGGGTGAAGGTTGGAGGCAGGGCTAATGGCTTATTCTGTCTGTGTCCCTCGATATTCATTGTCCTCTGTTTGATAGCTAATTTACCACTTGTAGGTTTCGCGATACTCCCATGTACACAGCCACGGAAAGCATTATTTTAACTTGATGAGAATTGAATCGATCTCCTCTGTGTTTTCATATGAGCTGCGGCGCTCTGTTATCCTATTTATTCATTTTATTTTTCCTATGGTGCGCATCGGGCTTAGGTTCTATTGAAATTATAGAGCTGGCTAATAAATTTTACATACATTAATGCAGACGACAACCTATCTTCAATCCAGCAGGAAAGAAATAACGCCCAAAGCAAAAGAGACAATATGAGATAATGCAGAATTTTGTCAATCGAAGTCAAATGAATCCCTTATACGGTAACAAAAAATGCGAATATAGATATAGCGTCCCTGACCAGAAATCCTTTCACAAAGCGAAGCGAACAGCCAACAACAAGCGATCTTTGCCCTCTACCAAGGCTTGTCAGCGCCGGTGGCCATGTATCGAGACTTGCTCTTCTTGACATGGTCAATGATATCCTTCGAAGATTTCTCAGTATCTTTGTGATGATAATACCTCGTTCTGGCGAATCCATAAATGATGCCATCAACGGACGCTTTGTCCAACAGCTGATTCACATACTTCCCCTCTCCGACACGGCTAGTCCAGGCAAAGACTCTCTGGAGATCCCCTCTTTGTCGCAACTTGGCTCCATTCTTCAACTCGGCACAAGTCTTCTTTCCTTTCTCGTTGCAATCTCCAAACCCGTTTGGGAGTTCCGTCCATCCATAGTCCATGACTCGCCGCTTAGGTTTAATCTTAGGGCCTTCCTTCTTAAAGATCTCCATCACTTTGTTTGCCTCGCCGCTTAGACAGACTGCCTCACCATCGCCCAGACTCTTCTGGATGTAGTCGAAAGCGGCAGAACTGGCGTGATGCTTATCATAAAACCCGAAGAGGACTCGTACACCAGCAGGCTTCAGGTATTTTCGCGTCAGCCCTTGCAACGATTTCATGGAGCATTTTTCGTTTCCTTTGCATTTGCTCGGATGTAAAACTTTCTTATTGCAGTTTTTGCCCTCGCACATATCTGGAGTCTTGAGATCGAGCCAAACAAATGCGATATGTTCGTTCTCTTTGGCGATTACCTGGAACAGATTCTCCAAGGACCATCCCTTACTCTTTGCCTTGGTATCATGGTCGGCCCACCAACCTTCCTTATACGCCGCAACATCAATCTCGAGCGCATTGGCACCGTGTTTTATGGCATCCTTGACTCCAGTCCTGTCAAGGACCATGTGAGCAATGGCATATGTAGGTCGTCGCTGTTTTATTCTGGTAACTTTCTTCAACATTCTTCTCCGAGGCTCAAGCTGGAACGGAGAGCCGAAGGTAATGGGGATAGTAAGCAGGAGGCAAAAGAGTGCATATATTGTGCGCGTGAGGGCTTGCATATTTTGTTTTTTTTATTTGAACCTGTTGCTAATGAATAAATAAATAGAGGAAAGCAAAGTTTGGGGGCTAAGAATATGAACTTGAGAAGGCAGTGTTGGACATGAAAGGGGCCTTTGACAAGATACAGAGAGAAGTTATCGTGATCTAGATATCGAGAAGCATGCTCGACTGTTTCATGAGATTCAACAACTACCCAGGGAAACAGGCGCTTTTATACATAATCACAACATAACTTCCAGCGGCCTCTTCGATATAACCTGTGTTATCTATAGATATGGCTGTTGCCGTGGCGTACTTTAGAAAACACTGTGGACTCCCTCACAACTCTCCCCGACTAACTAAGCCCTAATACTTCAGAAAAAATTATCGGGAAAGCTTGAGCGGCCTCAATAATAATTCTCCGAAGTCAAGCAATCCAGCTCCCAAAAATCATTGAACTTGTGCTAATAATCAAGCCGTATGAAGCCACCTTAGCTCCTGTGTTTGGCAGGATCTCGAATTATTTAGAGTCCTTGTGTTGTGAAACTCCCCAGTCCATTAGTTCTTGACAATCCGAATTTCCCATGTTATTACGGAGTATGGCGTATGGAGGATTCCGTCTTTGCTGCTGACGGCATCCCGGAGCTGTTGTTGAAGCAAAGCTCGGGAAAACTGTTGCATAGTCGGTCAGCAAATCTGCAACTGGCATATCATATAGATTATAACCCGAAATACCGACGCTCAACTTCCACTGATAAATAATTAAAATGGACACTAAGATTCAGAGTATTTTTAGTCTTGTTGTGGCACTCGTAAGTTTGGCGTAGGCTCTGAGGCACGGAGTGCAGGGAGGAGGTTGGATGACTAGTTAGTTGTTCAACAGACTCAGCAGATGAAATAAGCCTTCAATTGTCTAGTTAAAAATCTGTCAAATCAGCCTTTTTGAATTCCTGTCTCTTAGAGACGATGTAACAAGACAAGGCTTAATCTGACATATTAGCTGCAATTATAGTCATATATTCTCAATTCTCAAACTGTAGAAGTTTTGTCTAATCAGTAGTTAATACTTAGAATTGATCATATTTTAATAATTAACTAATTAACTAGTTAACTTGTTAATTGTTAATTGGACGCCTGGTTCTATACATCTCCACTTTTCAACCTCTTTGCATTCAAATATAACCACAAATTACATTGTGAGCTATTTTGTATGCTAGGAGCATATATGAACATTATATTCAACCTGGTTACTACATCATTGTGCTACGCGTTTCTGTGGCCACATCTCAGATACCACCCTTTATTTCCCTTCATTGTCTCCTTGTATGTAACTTATCTACTTATAAATATTATATAAATAAAAAATAATTAATTACATTTTTATTTTAAAAATAATAACTTTTATTTAATAATTATAAAAAATAAACTAATATAAAAGAAAAAAATATTTTAAATTTAAAAAAACATATATAACTAATAAATATTTTTTTCAATAATTTTTAACTTCTTATATATTTTCAAATTTATTTACTTCAATTTTTTAATCATATAATTATATATTTTTATATTAAAAATTTTAATGTTATTTTAGGTAGTTCTTAAAAGTAGTATTAAGTTTATTATATTAATTTTAAAAAAAAATCAAAATAGTTTTTATTTAAATTTATTAAATTATTAAATTTTCTTTTATCTTCGATCAGCTTAATTAAAGTTATAGTTATATAGGCAACTTCATATGCCCCTTGGCCGCTCGACAGCCGTGACGTCGCGATCGTCCAGCGGATGTAAACCTCGTCGATTTAGCTGCTTGACGACAAGCGATAACATAACAAAAAAGCGTCCTTCCGGATTGAAAGGCGTCGAATACAGCGATGTGGATGGTGCCCTAGCCTATGTCTTTATCACAGTCAATATTTCAATCTTAAGCACCGATGGAAGTGTATCCCTAGTACGGACTAACTAGAAATGAACATATGCTGGCTGCATCTCCCGCTTTGCCTTGTCTGTTTCCCCCATATACATGCGTATCATATGGAATGACTTCACTTGACCAGTTAACTCATACAACCAATGTACACCGGGACCCCTGTAATTTTGAAAATTATTCTTAGACAGCTGTGGGAAACATGGGAAAAGCAGCTTGCGCGAATCTACCCCTTGTCCCTTGAACATGTCCATCTTACCACCACAAGCCGATGATGGATAATCTGCACCAGCAGAATGAGTGAGTCGCGCCAGCCTTTTCTCAATTTAGTCACTAATGACCGTCTTAGAGCACGGGTTTGTCGTTGCCCCTCACCCGCCCCCCGAGAGCTTCCCAAATCACAGCTCCGGCACTATGAAAAACGATCGAGTGTCTCCAGCGTGTGTCGTTGCGTGCTGGAGGATATCACTCGTAGCCTAGGTGCGGAAAGCCATTTTGAATACGGCGTTTGGCAGCCCCATATGCACCTTAGAGGTAATAAAAGCGTTGTATTGCCAGGGTCAGACGTCTCCGCGGCCGCTGAAGTGAAATTGCTCCACGCTGCGACCCAGAGTATCAGTCTGCTGAAAACGTGCCTAGACACATTAGAAGCACAGGGGATCGTAGTGACTAGTTCCACCGTGCGATACTTACCGGAACCTTCTGTTTCCAATATGGGATAGAATTTTCAGTAAGTATGGCCTCTCTTGCAAAGCACGAGAAAAACGATCATCGAGAACAGAGCATATCTAGGCTTTAGGCCTTCTTGAGCGTTCTGGCACCGCATGTATGTTGTTCTACCTGTCTGTCTGAATAACCCATATACTGATGAAGGCAGTCACTCGAGGCAGGGATTTTGGCCCACATATAGCCGAACAGGAGCCACATCACCGATCAAAACAGACGCCTATCAAGTGAGGTGGGAATTGAGAGAGGGTCTAGAACTGGACCGTTTTGTGCAAAAGTCACCAGAGGCCCCTGCAGCTGACGGGTGTAATGACGATTCAGTTCCGTGGGATGAAGTTATGAAGAAGTCTAAACAGATAGACACGAGAGTCGAACGGGTTGGAAATGAAAGTGACCAGCTGCGTGAAATTGTGGACCGAATTCAACAGTCAGGAAAAAAGAAAAGGAAGCGAGATGACGGCGGAACATGGGCGGAACCAGGATCAGTCATATCGAGCAAATGCCCTGAAGGCTCGGACCCCGTCGGCGTTCGCCCGTGACCATAGCAGTTAACGGCGCGTCAACCGTGCCCCTCCCAGATCAGTATCGTCGTCCGACTCTGCGGGGACCGAAAATTATTCTTGTAACATCAGTTTCAATCCCTCCCAGCTACCACCAGCCGTTCTCTCTATGAGATTAAGCCCGGTCCCAGTCATTCCCAACTGCCGCCTACTAACCCCGGATGTCTTCCCAGCTCAACTGTTGCCGGTCTCCGACGAGTCCATCTGCGATTAACCCTCACCTGGCTGGGTCATTCTCTATCCCCTCCTTTGGGTTGAGTTGCGACATCGAGGAGTCTCACCCGCCTTAACACACTTACACTGGTAAGCTTTCTGCAAAGAATAGTAATTACAGTGTTCTCCTGTGAAATGGAAATCCCATTGCCATAAAATGCTAGACCTGTCTTATCTCCTCTGCACCATATTTCCATCCCGATTCTCTAATGAGCGTCCTCTACTATCCTACATTTTCCCAATGATAGTCCGACCGACGATAGTTTACTACGAATAGGTCTGCTTGGTCTTCTGGCCAGGGCAGCTGTCGTAACAGCCAACCACTGCATATGATCCTGTAGGAAGCTAATGGCAGACTCGCTGTTTGAGGTTTAGGTTTCGCGTACACGTCTCCACCGTTGGCTGGAATGCACTTCGGTTGATTACCCTCTCTGTCTCCTATATAATAGTGCCACCTCCACCGCGACTTGTTATCTTTTCTGTGGAGATGATAAGCAGTCACGCAGAGGACCTCGTCTTTCTTATCTGCGAACTTCTCCCACTCAGGGAAGTGCTCAAATGAGGAGTTGTCCAGTAGAGAAGCGGGCACCAGGAATGGTAGATCAGATAGGAAGTCGGGTCTCATGAGGTAACGGACGTGCTAGGTTTCTTCAACCAGCTTGAAGTATGGTTAAGGGGGGAACTTCTCACCTGATTATCCGCGACTAACTCGACGGAGTTTGTATCTTTGGCGTTTTTCAGCACGATCCATCCATCGTCGGCGAGTGCCTGTAACACTCTGCTGGAGTCCCGATAGAGGTCCAGTATGTCACCAGATTGGATCAAGACCTTGATATCCATATTCACCTTGAAAGTTTAATGGATTCGGAGAGAGATAACTACTTATGGGGTTGAGGAAATCAGCCCCGAGCGACAAGGAAACGCCGCTTTTGCCAGCCTGCATTAAATCGTTGGATAACACTGTTTTGCTTGAGCCTTAGCTAATTGTTCCAGGATAAGATCTATTTCTATTTTGTTAAAGTAGACTTATTGGGTCGCAACGCAGATGTCAAGGAAATACAAAGTCACAATTCAAGTAGCTTTTCGATAGGGTAGTTAGTGATCGTCAAAGTCCTCTTCGTCCTCTCGGGACGTTGAACCTTGCGAGCTCGTCCACTTCACACTGCTGCACTTAGTCCAAGAGCTGCATACGGTTACCAAGTGAAGTTAAGGATCCTAACATCGCTGGTCGACAAAAGTCCAGTAGATTTTCGTCGAACATGGAGCTGTATCTCGTTCGCTGCTAAGCATGCCCAAAATAACCCAGTCTCCATGGAGCGTTCCATCCGCGAACATAGACGCTGAGACTCCGAGAGGATAAGTTGTTCTATAACTTATTTTCTCATTCCCTTAGGGCTTCAAGAAAAACACGGAATCTGGGAATGTACCGAATTAGAAACTGATCGAGATCAGACTCCCAGTCCTCCGGGCTGTGCAACAAGTTCGAACCACCAGGGAGCTACATATGTAATTCATCAGGCGCAGCATATGTAAACTCCCAATCAATAGCTCCAGAGACACAGGATTTCTCAAGGTCGATAAGAATGTTTGAAAGACGGAAATCGTCACAATACAGCCGAAACGGTCCTTGACAATGTTCGTGGAAGATATTCTTTACAACCTTAAGAAATAAACAGCGAGAAGTGAATTTCTTCCTGCAGTCGTCCTCGCAACTGACAGCATCGTTTCGTTACAGCTGAAGATGGTAGAGCTGCTGCGGAGCAAGCGCTTCGAAGTAATCTGCGGCTGACTTGAAGATGTGCGAGAGAAAAGGCTTCTTCGGCCAAATTTGCCGACATAATCAATTTGTTCATGTTAAATGTGAGGTCGTCTAGCGACAATAAACCGGGCCCCCCCCCCCCCCCCCCCCCCCCCCCTCCAATTTCTCCCCAGGGGTTTAATAGCATGAAATCCAGGCCTAGATACTTCGAGCAAGAGCCCTGCAATCTCGCGATGAGCTTTCTTCAAGCTCTGATCTCTCATTTGCAGGTCTAGGACTGGCCTTCCTCCTTTCTCGGCTTTAAGAAGAAGCTGTGATGACAATTCTCCTCCAATAAACAAGGGGCCGCCTAGCAGATACCAGAACCAAGAGCTTCGGGAACAGGTATCGAGGTGTTGCGACGTAGGTAATTCATAGTTGCAAGCTCGTGTTTGACTTTTCTACCTGCATCGACACGCAGATAGAGGTTTGCCATCCTGATGTTTCAAAGCAAAGCTGCATAGACAAGATTTTCTGGGGATTTGCTCAAAAAGAGTTTCAACCAAGCAGCGAACTTCTGCTATTGTTTTCTCTTCAGCCACCTGGTCAAACTCCCATGATTATTTGGCGGATGTAATTACGTATAAGGATGCTGGGCAATTCTCTCAAGGAATGGAGGTTGATGTGCGTTAAAGAACAAAGACTGAACGCCCTACGTTTGTGAAGCCTTCTCGCGTTTCACGGCAATACTTTGGTCCATGGTCGGTTTGGGGGTTGTTCTCACATCAATAGTCATGGAGGGCATTCTGAGAGAAATATATGACCGCGTCACGAAGAGAAGCAAGCCAAGGACAGTAGACTATGTACTTGGGAATCTACGCTGGCTTTCAACATGCCGGTATATAATAAGCCTGAGGATTCGTACTCATTTCTAATGATTACAAAAGGTATAACTAATGTATACATCAAATGTAAAAACTAACTCGACTTTTTTCATAATGTTTCTACTTTATTTATAATATAATTACTAAAATTAATATTAAATTTTATTTAAAAGTATTAAATCACCTTTTCAATATTTTATTTTTAATAAAAAATATAAAAAGACAATACTTAAATTCATATATAACTGTTTCAAATAGTTTTATATTTTTAATTTTTAATTTAAAAGTTTTATTTAATCAACTAGTTAACTACAATACTTATATTAATAATATAATCATTAATATAATTATAATTTTTTATTTAACTAAATTTAGTTAAATTTTATATTTAATAATTATTATATTTAAAATAGTAACAATGAAACGCTGTATTTATATATAATTAATTTATAAATATAATTCTTACTAATATAAAAAAAGTAATTACTTAGTTGACTAGTTAACTAATGTAATTCACCTCTGAGTAAATTATATCTCTGAGTAAATTATCAAAATCATCATATTTTAACTTGGTAGAATTTAATTTGAAATATTCATATCAACAATGTCTTAGTAAATTAAATTAATTTACACTAGAATTGAGATATTTTGTTCTCTTATAATCAAGCAAATTGCAATTGATGCACTGTTGTGAAACTTCTAAACATAATTGAAATTCTGCAAATAAAGATATGAAGAATTAAATAATTGACTGTTCAACAAATACAGTAGCTGAAATAGCAGACTGAGTAGCTTTCTGTCTGATTAAATTTTCTTCTTGTTGAATTCTTCAAACAGATCTCTTGTATTTTTGCTTCTCTTTCTTATTTGCATTGAAAATATTCTGATATTATTTCTTCATAATAGTGATATTGATCATCTCATATTCACAGATCTTGATAATTTAATTAAAGTTCTTTAATAAATTTTAAGACTGCTGATTCTTTTTAAAGCTTTTGATCTTCTTGATCTGCTGTTGCAATTTTTATAGATTGCTAGATATTTAAAGCATTGAGAATGAAATTAAATTGCTTAATCTGTTAGTTAAAAGAGTAGAGATTCAGAGTTGAATATCTAGCTGCAGAATGATTTGATCTGATTCAAATGACACTATATCAGTAGCTTTAAAGCTACTTTTAAATGTTTTGAGCTTTAAAACCTTATGTATATACTGCAGAGTAGGTATTTAAAAAGTCTATCTTCTTAATAATATTGAATTCAAACTGCATTTGCTGTTTAACAAAACTATTGTACATGTGTTTCAAAACTACAATAACACTCACATCTAGTAACTGCAAGAGATGTGAGAAATGTACTAGCATGCAGAGAGGAATAATCTTATTCTCTTTGTAGATATAGTCAAATTCTAAGATAAGATGACTGCTATATTTATTCAAGATAAGAAGAAGATAAGTGTCAATTCTATATATATTTAAAGCAGAAATAAACAATCTAGTAAGTTATTTAACTTCTATCTCATCTGTAGTCCAGTTATTAAGATTAACATCAAGCCTCTAGTCATTTAAAAGCTCATCAAATCAGTCTTCCTGTAGCTTCTAACCTTTAAAAATCATGTATAAAGATAAGATCCAGTCTAATACATTGACTGCCTCAATCACAGTCACTTATTTCTGATTTCCAGGCTGTAGAAGCTTTGCTTAATCATAGCACTCATTACTAGTAATAAGTTTAGTAGTGGCACAGAGCCTCATTGCAAACCCAGTCTCATCAAAGTTGTATATATTTTCAGACAGAGTCTCATGCTTAGTAATTATATCCTTCAAGGTTTTAAATCAAATCTGAATAACTCTTATATCTTTACATTTAGCTCACTCATGATTATAATGTCTGGAATAGTGACAATGAAGCTCTGTATAATATTTAATCAACTTGTAGATTCAGTTCTTGCCAATCTGGAGGATATTGAAGTGCGTAAGTTAGAAAGTTGAAGCTTTTTTGGATTTGATGGTTCGCTCAGGGATGGATTACATTAACTAACTAGTTAGTTAAATTATTAATAAAAGGTGGTTAGTTTATATTTTTGATAAATATTAATCAAAATAGTGATTCTCTTTTGTTCAGATTTAGAATTATTGAACCAGTTAAATCTCTTCAATCTCAGTCAGCTTAGTTGAAGTTGCATGTAAACTAGTTTTTACAGATCTGTCATTAAGGTGAACGAGCAGAGTTGAATATGAAACTTTATATGAGTGTGCAGCTTTATGAATTGAAGATGTTTCTTGTTATTTAAGAGTGAATATCACAAGTTCAAACCTTCCCTCTACCTCTATAGGTTTTTTTTGCTCTTTACTGTGAATTGATGGCAATTCCCATGCGTTGAAATAGGCTAATAAGGAAATTGAAGATATTTTGGATTTTGCTGAACAGCTCAGACCAGCTCAAATCGCTCTTTAAATTTCCGTAAGCCAACGGTCGATAGGCTGCCTAGTAGTTAACTAAATATCTACGGACGCCTCGAGGAAACATAAAGAAAAACAAACCTGCCATCCCCAAACTGTGTGTGGTCACAAAGCACACCACAGCCCAACTTTGTCTCCTACTCTATCCTTCGCGACTTCAATGACCATTTGCCCCTCAACTCGGGAAACTAGGAGATGCACGTCACAGCCCTGGTCCAACGACCGCGCGAGAGGAGACAAATATGTGGATAGGGGGATTTTCTTTGAATGATGATTTGCCTGTTCGGGAATTTTCGCAAAAATAGAATGCACAGGGACATTAGGGTGGTGCTGTTGTTGCTGATCCATCTGCTGGCTATGTTGGGGATGTTGTCGCTGCCAGGCATTTGTATCATTCCCGTCGGTGGAAGCCTCTTCCCTAGCCAGATCTATTGAAGGAATATACGGTAGAGAGATGGAATTGACAAGGATGACAGATAAGAAGGAAGCATAAGTTCGTGATAGAACAGTCAGTGTCCTTAGTAGCGGGATGAGACGGGCCTGCGCTGCCCCTGGGTTTGAGAAGCGGATGGTTTCCTCAAGCGATTGATCTATGCCTTCGATGAGGAGGAGGATCTGTGTGGAGCTGCACTCCGTTTCTTTGATTTCTAGCCCTCTGTGCAATTGGTTGAACTCAAATAGAGTATCTGACACCTGAGATACAGCTTGGAGCAATTCATCAAAATCATACACGCGGTGTGTTTGCAGGTTGCCAAGGATTGATTCGATCTCTTCCGCTGAGCGGTCTGGCAGTCGCTGTTGAATGGACGGATATATACTTTGAGACGAAAGGGGTCGTGAATCAAAATACTGGATTAAAAATGCCCTTGGAAAAGACAGACCAGGGGTATATTTGCTGAGGAGGGTAACAAGAATGTGTTGCGAGACCTTCTGAACTGTTAGCTTTTTAATAGTAATTAAGACGAATGCCTTGTTGCTCATGCAAAACAAGTGGAGAAAAAAATAAATGAAATCTTAACCAACCTCATCCACCCAAGATCGAATATCATCATCCATTCCCTCTCTTGGGCCCTTCGTTCTCATCGACTGCAGTCCTGATATCCCAATAACCCGGCCACAACTGAGGATAGATTGGGCAGGGAAAAACGATACTCCCTCCTCGATGTCTCTAGTCAGGTCCCATGGCGCCCTCTCCCCGCTTTCGAGGTGTTGGAGCTCATGAACATGGCTATTTCGAAGGGCTGCGTTTAGAAGGGCAGAGGCGAGTATTGCCGGCGCTGGCGCAGATTGACCTGCCATGATATAATGCGCTCCATGTACCTGGAAGCTAACAAAGAGGATAACCAAGTGAAAAGAATAATATATGTTCCGACGGATGAAAGCTGTGTTCCTCTTTCTCCGTCCTGTAGTGATCTGATATTGAAAGTGGCAAAGAGCTCAACTGCCATGGGAAGACTCCGGGTAACTAATCCTTCTTCTATTTTTCTCAGTCAAAACAATTATGGATCTCCCCTCTCATAACCTGTTCGTTAATCAATGCCAACTACTGATTGATTTGTTTAGAGAATGAGGCGAAGGGTTGATGGAATTTCGTGCTTATGGAGATGTTCATTTGAGTCCGTCATTAACCAAATACCTTGTGTCAACCCAACGTCAGATTTCTGTTAATTAGCTAGCACTAACTATACAGTTAGCATATTCCCAACGAATCTACACAAGCAGGTATCCTACCTCCCTTTATACTATACAGTATTTGATTCCTTATCCATGATTCTGCATATTCTATCTTTTTGACCATTCATTTTTTTTTTTTCGTTTCTTCCAATGTTGCTACTGATGCAGTTCTTCTTTTACTGCCCCCACTTCGCAAGCCCTCTTCACTGGTTATCGATTGTTATCATGCATTACCAACATCCATTCATGAATGGATCCTTTACCGATGGGCTCAAGTATAACCCTCTTCGGGAATAAAGCCGTCTATCTAAATATGACAGGGAGTCCAAAATCCTGCAGAGGCCTCTTTCCGCTGCTTTTTCTTGCGATCTAGTTATATCTTCTGCGGTGTGATATGCAAAAATTCATCTATGCTAAAATCCTTCCCATACCCCAGCCATATAACCAACTCTCCTAACAAATCAATATGAATCCCACTGTCCTTCCGGAGGTCACTCAAACCGTCAGCAACAGTTACAGCAAATCTAAGAAGGACCTACAGCACAAGCAAAAGCAGCAACATGTCCATGGCGGTGAAGGGTTAACAGCCCTCCAAGCCATACCTCACGGTGGAATTCCCATTCCAGGTATCTAAAAATCCAAGCAAGGCATACTTTTTAAGGGTTTTACATTCCCCAACTTAAAAGTAATATAAAAACCAACCCACATCTCTAACCAAACCAACCCAGGAATCCCCAACTTCCCCTCCCACGAGCTCAATCGCCACTGGCAACCCGAGCACATATTTTTAAGGTGGAGAGTGATCCTGAGTTTTTGTATTGTGAGTTTCAAACGGAATATGAGTATGAGGATATGTTGTGTAGTGGGGCGTTTAAGAATTGAAGATGATTGACGACCGGGATAGAGGTGTTATTGTGATCTCTCCATCTCAATTCAGAGGGAAAGTATGAAGTTGTGATTTACCGCACCAGAGGGGGGTGGAACTTGTGGGGGGACACAAAAAGAGGAGGGAAAAAATGAAATACTGAATTATTATCTATTCCATTCCTTTTATGGAGCCTTCTACAAGTTGTATCCGCTGGTGCCCTCGAGACCTCTCTAACATATAATTAGGTCCGAGTAAAAGCAGGGTTAAGGGGCAGGGTTTAAAAAAACAAAAGAAAATTCAAACCTAACTAGGATACACTCACAAAAATTGGAAGTTCTTAGTGGCATGAAAATGGAAACATATACATGTATGAACCACTTTCATCAAGCAAAGATAAAAAAGAGCGGGAAAAAAATGAAGTAGAGGCAGAAAGGAGACAATTATGGTACGAGAACTAGAATATGATTATGCCATTTTCAATAGAGGTATAGCAGATAATAGAAGGAATTTATGGTAGAAGGAAAGGCTGCAGAATGGAATAGGTAATAAAAGCTGGAGATTTAGAAAAAAAGATATGCATGATGATGACCATGGTCGGGAAAGAGAAAAATTTCCAGGGCCAGAAGAAAAAGAAGACAGAAGAGAAATGAAGAGAGAGAAAAAAAAAAAAAAAAGAAAAAGAAAAAGAAAGAAAACAAGAAAAGAAAAAAAAGAAAAAAACATTCCAGGGGCAGAAGAAAAAGAAGACAGAAGAGAAGTGAAGAGAAAAGAAAAATGGCCCAATAACATAAAGTATCCCAGTAGAAGAAGACCTGAGGAAAAAAAGAAGATAAATGGCATAAGAAAACAATAACAAGCAAACCGTGAGCTAACAAATATGGCTGGCTTGTTTTAGTAAGGGGGTCGTGCGATGGTTCCTCTCGTTCCGTTTCCTATCCCCCTAATGCTGCGAACTCGGGTAACAGCCTGGCTCTCTCTACCAAGATAGTAGCCGTCATCCTTACCAACAGGGGGCTGTTGACTGATCCGTATAGACGGGCAGGTTTGAGAGGCCGCACCACCAAGTTCCACGACATCGCCGTTTGCCGCTTGCTCCGATTCAGGGGCGTCTAGTAAACCTTTAAGCAGTTTTTCCACATCTACGCGTCGACCCAGACTGGCTGATCTGTGTCCATGCTTGGAGAATGCTCTGCTGTTTCCGGTAGATGTAGCTCGAGCTGTATCATCGTCAGGGGCCGTAGATTGTTTAGGAACAGAAGAGCCGTTGTTAGCAGCCGTTCGCGACCTTTGTCTAGTCAACGATCTGCTCTGACGCGGTGAGCTGCTGACGGTGTGTTGACCCTTCGTAGCTTGTCGAGCACGAGGCTGAGATGGAGCTGTCGAGGGACGATCGCAGGGAACAGGTGAATACGGCGGTGACGGTACTGGTGAGGAAGCACTTGAGGTATTCGTTGGGAACCCGCCCGGTATTGCGAGGGTGGAAGGAAGAGGAGGGACTGGTGGGATATCAGTGGATGGCGCACGGCTGACATGTTCAAGTCCATCTTTTTCTTCGCTAGGTGACCCATTGGAAGGGGAGACCTTTGGAGCTTCTGGACTATCCCGACGAGACTGAGACTTATTCGAAGAGGCACCAGCACCAGCAGCTGTGCTGCCTACATCAGAGGCAGAAAACGCATCACTGTCCATACTTTCCGAGCTAGATCCACTGCTTCCAACTCCCCGAGACATGATCTGACGGCCGCGAAGGGGGCTGGAGTGGCGGACATTGCTGGTCTTTACCACAGACAGAACCCGGCGAAGCTCATTAACTCTTACTGTCGAATCTCGGCTCGAACTTGCAAACGAGGTATATGATCCTGTGGGGACACTTTGTCGTCTTAATTTCTGCAAGCCGGTAATAACGCCCGCGGTTCCAACCGGGGCTAAAATAGAGCCATCGTGATGAGGCGGTTGCGGATTAGAAGGCATAGGCTCCGTTTCGGCAGTAGATCCGTTGCCGTTTTTATATCCATTTGCCACAAAACAGTTTCGTGTCCCAGTTGTGCCAGCCCTCGAACCGCTAATAGAGGATGATATCGCTCTATCTGAAATCATGGTAGTTAAACAATCCTCTTTCGACCACGGCGACAGCATGTGCTCCTTCACTATCGTTGGAAGTTGTTCTTCCGGTGGAGCTCTTCCTGGTGCGAGTGAGACATGTCCCTGAGAAAGAACTGGAATGGAAAATACCCGGCCCGAAAAGTTGGTTGGACTGGTATTTGGCGATTTAACAATAGTATTGTAGGCATTTTCAATTTGAGCTACAAGCTCAGGGAGGTCTGTGAAAGAGGTGTAGATGCTTCGGTCAAGGCGTAATTGAACATTCTGTATGTCACTCAATGTGTCATAGAGTTCAATATAATTCAGTTGTCGTGGTGGCAACTGTATTTTGTCAAACCAAGCGCCATTCTTCTTCCGCCTGGAAATTTCACCGAGTATAACGTCACCAATGTTCGTCCCCTCAAGGTCGAATTTTTCAACCAACGCCCACAGATATCCATGAACCAAACTGGAATTATTGAGCCTAGCAGTTTCAGAAATTGTTTCATCGTTGGACAAGAAGTCATCCTGCAGTCTCATTAACATCGGTAACCCATACTTCGCGGCATTAACCCCCATATTTTCCACAAGATTAGCCAACAGAAGGTGTAGGAGCATTATATCGGATTCCACGGTAGCACATTCCGTTGCAATATCGTAGATCGTAAGGTGGAGGAGCTGGAGAAAACAAGATGTAGCCATAGCCGCATCTTTATCTCTCTGAGATATTGTTGAAACGATTCTCCTCGTCAATTTATCGGATGGCTCGGAAACGTCACGTTTCGGGCCTGGCTTGGGCGCTTTCTTGTTGGTTTCAAACGTAACCCTGAAATCATCTCTCGTTGTTTCTAGTTGCAACCAGGAAAGGAATGCATCAACGTATGCATGTTTAACCTCGCGATCTGGATCTCGTAGAAGCCACTGGGTACCCTCCCACACCCATATGTTAACTCGATTACGCGTATCGACCCCCGCCGCAATCTCGGGCTTGCGTACATTTGCAAGTAAAATATTCTTTATGCATCTCAAAGCTACCACTCGAGCTGCCGGAGAGGAGAAGTATATATCCGCTCCCACATCTTCTGCACTGCCGAAAGCAATGGTCAAATCGCCTTCGGACTCACTAGTTGACAGCTCAGATGCTGTAGATGGCTTGAGTCGCGAAACAATCGTTCGAATCATGTCGGAAACTTGTTCAGCATAGTAAATATGGGTGGCCAAAGACCCGACACACTTTTGCAGGAGCTCCACTAGTTCTAGGCGCAACTCCCACGGGATAACTGTCCCATAATCCTCAGCTTGTCGCGTATAATGAGCGCTCGGCTCTGTGAACGGTTCTTCCGCGGCTTCTTTGACATTTGGAAGTTGATTGACATTCCCAGGTGGGCGTTGGTCCACCATTCTCATTGAGCGGTTTCCAAGCTGTAAAAGGAGTAGAAGACGTTGAAGCAAGCTAATGAGAACATCCATGACGCTCAGCCCAATAAGATTGTTGGGGGAGCTCAGTAACCAATCCACCATCGAAGCAAGAATCAACTGCGTTTCTAACTTTTCGTCCACCATGGGGGTGTTGACAAGCATTTCCATACTTGTAATGAGGATAACGAAGCGTTCCTGCACAGGTGACCACTTGGCGATTATCTCCATCAAGTTTGTAGCCCAGCTGCCACCGGCAGCAGAAGAATCGGGGTGTTGTTCCAGGTTGTAGTGACGGGGAGGCCGCTTGCTCACAATGAACTGCAGTAGTAGGGAGGTTGCAATACGAATTTGGCTCCTATTGCTACCAGTTGCAAAAATTTTCTCCAGACAGCGTAATGCCAACACCCTGGTTTCTACTTCAGCGACTCTATCCGAATCAGCGGTGGTTCCTGAAGCGGTAGTCGGGTCCCCATCCGTCGTATCGGCCGTCTGGACAGTGGCAGAACTCGTTCTTCTCCGTCGCGCAAGCTCCCGTTCTAACTTTTCTGAATTCAAAGCCTTCTCCTGCAATGGAAGCAAGTCCTCAGTAGAATAAAGATTATCCAAGATCACTGGTACCACGATGTTCAACTGCTTCATCCCGTCCGACGCCAGGGCTTCGGAGCTAACTACACTTTTAATAGCCTGCAAGCCAACTTTTCGCCATCGCAGACGGAGCGGGAGTGCAAGAGGCGTTCTCGATGGAGTGGAAGGTTCCGTTGAAACAAAATTAGCATAATTTCTTACAATTTCTCGATATAGGTTGACATATTGTTGATCAGCAGCGAGGGCGGCCATGTCCTGATGACGACAAAACACATCGAAAGTCTCCACGGTCTCCTCCACCATTGACAGATCGTTCGAGCGGAGAACGGTATCGATTATTGTCAGGACAGAGAGAGCATATAGGGGTAGGTCGCGTGGAATCTTCTCAATGAGTGCCGCAAGAATCTGGAGGGTAACTTGGACATTTCTATAAACGAAAAAGGAAAGAAAAGAAGAGGCAATAGTTGTCAGCATCTCGCAATCAAGGAACAACAGAACAGGTCGACTTGAGCATTCTTTCTCGACAATCACGTACCCGAGTTTCCCCCTCCACACATCCCTAGCAGCTCTCTTCTCCAGGAATGCGCCCACTTTTTGGAGCTTGCTTCGTCGCGTACTCGCATAGTAGAGGAGGTAGCTGAGCTCTGAGGAATTGGGTTTGACCTCCTGCACGCCTTTCTGGAACTTGGGATAGCATTTCAAGATCAAGACCTGATGCTTCGGTCGGCATGACTGATGGATGGAGTGCATTTGTGCAGTTGCTGTGTTCTGTACTTCGCTTTACCACGTAATTATTGTCCGGGAACATAAATTAAAACTTTTAGATATAAAAAAAAAGGTGTGGAAGAGGAGAGGGAGAGAAAATGATAATGATGACGAGGATGTTACATGACAAGTTGGGGAAGGGCGGTAGGTGAAGCAGCGACGACAGTCAACACTGACTGCACCGCGACTGCAACTGCTGGGTGTTGTAGGACCCTGGCGGAAAGGACAGATTCGCTGCGGGAGTATGTTAAGTCCGGGGCGAGTGGCCAGGAATGGTGCGGAACCAAATACGACGCGAAATGGGGGCTGCGAGAGCAGCTGGATTGATCAGGGCCAGTTCTGGCATGGAGAAAAGGTGAGGGAGAATTGCATAACCGGGGGGAAGGGGGAAGAGGTGTTTTTCAAAAGCCAGTGCTCGTGGTCTATACCACTCGCATCGTATCAAGGAGTACGGCTGGGAGTTGGGAAGTTGGAGGCGTTGGGGGGGGAGGTTGAAGGATTCTCGGAGGTATTTCGAGGACGGGGAGTTTGGAAAGAGGCGAATGTCGAATATATCGCAGGACGGCGGGTATTACGGGGATGCGTGGCTTGTACCTTGTTCCCATACATCATCGGCTTACCTGTACAGAACAATACGTTGAATAATAAAACGTCTAGAAATAGGAGCAACCAACATCACACAAAAACGGGCCGTTTCGAAGCTCATAACTGAAACAATGAAACAAAGAGAAAGAAAGAGATGCAAAAGACAATGGAGCTAATACTATTCAATTTTATTATCCAAATACGAATAGCTCTACTCGGAATTTCATCGGTGCTGCACACGAATGATTCCCGTTCAAGTGGTATCCGGAGGGAATTACAGTTTGAACGTGAATATAGTTTATAAGTGGGGCCCACTTTTTAAAACCATGATTCAACTCGAGGTTCACCTCCCCCCATCTAAAAAGAAACCAACAGTCACATACTTGCTGATTACTAAATACATCTGTTTTCAACCTCACCGCCCCTCAACATCAGGGGTAAGGGTAGATTAGGGGCTAGGATTAGGATTAGGATTAGGATTAGGATTAGCATTAGCATTAATAGTGATTAGGGAAAGGTTAGTTAAAGGGTAAGGGTCTGAGAAATACTTTTCTAGCTGAGACTTTAAAACCATGTAACGGCTTTTTCTAAACCACGTTTTAACTGTAATTATGCCTTATATAGTACTCTGGATTTAGACCCTCCCATAATATATCCGCTAATAGTATGGTAGTATGGTTGCCAGTTCAGTTTCATCCCAGGATTCGTTACGCCAAACCGCCATATGGTGAAGTATATTCCGGCGCAACAAATACATATAGGACATGCGTCTAACCGCATAAAAGCCATCATAGATTAACGTTACTCTTGTACCATCCCGTCTGTGTTGGGTCCTTGCAAGGTTGGCAGAGGAGACGACGCGACCACCCCACTCGAACGGCAGCCAGATGAACCCAAGAGCTGAAGACAGCCATTTACTTGCCTTCTGGTGAATTACCCCACATCCATACAATTATCTCCGCAACCAAATGAGCACCAGAAAACTTGATAAGCCCCATAGAGTTTGCTGTATAGATTCAGTTGATATCGGCAATAATAGTGACAGTGAATTCTCACACGCCTCTATGTGGATTCTGGACATCCAAAGCCCGAAAGGGGTCATCAGGCATATCCAATGCTCATTTGTACACTGTGTTTGGGCCATGTTCCCACATTTCCATGGGTTCCATTGGTCCATTGGCACGTTTAAGATGGTATTGACGGATTTGACAGCTCTAGAGTCCAGTCCTACCCAGCAAGTCGAAGCAAGCATCGGATAAAATTTCCCGCGTCAGAGGGATCTTGATTTATTCCGTCACAAGGACTGTTGCGCTGATCCGCCCGGAATCAACGGTAACAAATGTGGGAATTATGCCACGCCCTGTTTTTTGTTTTGCAGTACCCCTATTATTACCCCAGTATTACCTCTTTAGCGGGTGCATACCTGAGGGATCGAAGCTTTTGTCAACATATCGTCGGTGCGGAGGAGGCGGCTGGCATCCGGGAGTCCCCGTAGCGTGGTTGTTACTATCAACACCCAATCATGCGATTAACTTGGTCAGAAACTCATGACGTTGTGGATCATTATTCCATCTCCTCTTCCATCACTCGATTCCAAAGAGATATATCACAACCATAGACATCGTTTTCTGGGCCGGACGGAAAATATGCTACAAAGGTAAACCTCCATGAAAGGTTCGCAAAGCGATAAAAATCCCCACCAATGCTTTTCTCAAATCTCAATCCCATTTCTTCCTTCGGGACCACCTGGCACCCTAGCTTCATTCTGCGCCTCTTTCTCCTTCTCACCAGCTCCGGCTCCCACTCCAGCAATTCCCCCCTTCTCCGGCCCAAAACCCAACAATGCCTCAATAACTTGCGGACGAATGACAGCCTGCCGAAACGACTCGTCCTGCAATAGTCGCAACGCCCGTAACGTCGCGCCAGGATGTGTCAGGAATTGCACATACTCAGGCCGCTTCCAATACGAGTAGAGATATGCAAGGTATGCGGCAAATGATTGCGCATCCGATGTAGGAGTGGACGGAGAACTATCATCAGCACCAACAGCGCGAGATGAAGCTGAGGCGGAGGCGGAGGCAGAAGAGGACACTCCGAGGAGATGGGGATAAGCGACGGCTAGGTGAGAGATGTAATGGGGATTCGCTAGGGAGAGGACAAATTCGAGCTCGAGTGTGAATCGCGGGTTTTCTCGACTTGGGATGGGTGGGTTGAGAGGATTATCTTGAGCCATGCTGAAGCCTTTTGCTGGCGCCGTTGAATGGGTGCAGTATCCGGGGGATGGACAAATGCGTTGCGAGACACTCGCACGATCCGGGTAGTGCGCGCGAGAAGAAGGATCCAAGGAATCGGCTGCTCTCCGCTAAATTGAAGGATAAGCAATAAGTGAAGGTTGACCTTGTCAGATGTGAACGGGGCTGCTTGATGACATGCACGTGATTCTATTGCAGCCCAGATTTGAACACGTGATATTACCGTCCTCAAAGAGTAAAGTTGGAAATTTACATCTCTGTCTAAGAAAATACCAAAGTCACAGTCTGAAAACCTGACATTGATTTTTGATTTCCTATTACTCCGTGCTCTTGCCGGTTTCCGGCCCATCACATCGAATTAAATTAAACTTGACGATAAAAGAGCTGTGAGTGATCCGTGCCTGCATTAGGATTTCATTGGGGAGTACGAACAGATATACTCAATAAGGGCTCACTCGGGAAGTAATTCTACCTCTGAACCTGGACTAGAGGCAGTTTAAACAGAGGCGATGCCACCGCTATTTCTATCTGTTAAGCAGGTGATTGAGCAAAGAACAAAGAATTTGAACAGGACCTGAGAGTGCACATGGGATGGATTACTTCACGCGGTCCATATTATGCTCTTTTGCGCCAGGCGTTCCGGGCATAGCCTTTCCTATGCCCGAGAGGAGGCTAGCTGGGTGAAGACACCTTCAGGATGCAGGTGATGGTCCTCGAGGGGCAGCAAAAGCGACCTGCACAGAAGCTGCAACATGGAAACATGGTCCTGAATGTCTCCAAAAATTTTCCCAATCAAAATAATATCCTTTGCCGGCTCGATTCTGTATAATACGCCCTTACCACCTTGAAGGAACACAGTTGAATATGATATCTCACATGAGGCCTGTGTGCTTACTCGAGGGCACCCTAGGGCGATGTCGAGGGCATCTTACATGCTCACGTACATATAAAACGAACATACATCTGCTTCTAAGGCGTTATGATCCGTCTTCCAACTTCAAGGGTTCTTCAGATGATAGGGCTGAGGATGCATGGCCATGGTCGTTCCCTCGTCGCCCTGCTCGTACATTGTGTGGTTGCATATCGCAACACCCAGTGGATCTCACGTCCATCGACATTCCGATATCATCGTGCGCTGTAAATCAGCCCGCTTAATCCGTTCATGGCCACCTCCATATTATGCCAACTTCGACTACTTTGATCAGGAAGTGTCAACTCTGATAACGGATGAAATTGCTAACAGAAGTATTTGGGAAACCCAACGTCACGCAGATGGTTTGCAATACGCTGCGGATATCCATTACCCCGTAGGCTCAGCATGGCTGCCTAGAATCTCTTGCATTAACGCGGGGCTGACGCCAGTCTGAAGCTGTTGGCGATAAATAATCACCCGAGGCATGACGGATGGCCCATGGGATAGGATGAGGGAAATTGCCAAGAAGAAGAGAAAGGAGATGATACAGACAAGCAAGAATCTTTTTTGGGACAAGGCTGAAAGTGACATCGAAAAATTAAGCAGATAACAGCGGGCTGAAAGACATGCAGATACGTACAGAATTAAACAACTCCATATTGGTAAGCACTAAGGTCGGGCTGCCTTCATGGAAGTGTCTATTCAGGAGGACGGCGCTCACGTTACATCTTCTGGGGAAATAAATCCACTCCGCCACGTATATACAACTATTCGGCATATCATGGGCAGAAGTAATCCATCTCGTGCAACAATAGCGGGCTCAACGGTCTCAAGCAGGAATGGTACATAAGGAGAGGGTGGAGAAGTAAGTCGATCATACAAATGTGTAGTTAAGTGTGAAATGTGTAGGGACTGGTCGGCATTTGAAGTTGATACTTACAAAGACACTTAACAACGGCCTTTCTCCACGGGCCTGGGGATGAAATTATGTGGATATGCCTCGTTGGAAGCGCGTATAACATCTCTAATGCCCTAGGGCTAGCGAGCCCTAAAAGTTCTAGGCTTCCGGCCCACCTTCAGACAGGGAAGGAAAGTTTGCCAGGGAGAATGTTTCATTCACCCATATGCATGATCTTAGCAGAGCAGGGCAGGTCCCCTATATCAACCACCGCCTCGAGCCATATATATATATATATATATATATATATATATATATATATATATATATATATATGCGGGAAGCAGATTGCAGGAAAATTGAGGATACCCAGATACCGTGCATGAAATAAACTTGATATCTGCAACTTGGCAGGAGAAAGTGGCAGGGGAAGCCAATGATAGTTAATTGTTATCAAACTGTGGGGATAGTTACTGCATAGCCAAAAAAAAAAAAAAAAAAAAAAAAAAAAAAGGAAAGAAAGAAAAGCAAGAGTCAGGAAAAGAAAAGAAAATGAACAGCATTAGCAATCAGCTGGATCGATGATGAATAACTATTCGTCCAACATAAGTGAAGCCTGAAGGGGTCAATTCGGCGCATAGGATGTTGAAAATAGTTCTCCATGGATGATACATTGCAGATGCATCAGCAAAAGGGCTGTTTAAAGAGGAACAAATTTCCTCAGGGATAAGGAGGATTGTTAGTTATATACCGGTGATGATGTATTTGCAGAGGATTCGTTCTCTTTATTTTTTTACAGGCATTTTGCCTATTGTAGTTATTGCGTTGACATGCTTGAATTGAAATAACTTCCCCATTCATCAATGATGTTGTTGCACTTGAAAAAGATCTCACAGCAGAGAATTCAGTTACAACCGACTTAATTAGCAGTGTAGTTACATGACAACTTTATTCAGAGACAAGTCAATAAAAATGATTCAACTCTGACATCACATCAGTTATCACAATAAGAAAGCATTCAAAACGGCAGGTTGTCGCAGTAGACACGCTGCTGGCAAGTAAACAGCCCAAAATCCATCCAAATTAAAAGAATAAAACAAAAAAATAACCTGATCTTCAAGACATCTCGTCGGACTTTTTGGGCTGGCTGCACCACTAAAACAGTACAAATCCCCAACAATCCCCAACAATCTCCAACAACCTCCAACAACCTCCAACAACCCTCCTCTCCCATTCCGCCTCTTTTACTTCCGCCTCCACCACCGCCAACTCCATCTCCCACTCCCCACTACACACTCCCCACTCCCTCTCCTACTCATTACGTCTATACGGATATATATAGCCATCTCCATCGTCGCCTGCTAAGAATCATTCAGACCCTCGCAGCCCGTCAGCTTCATCCGCATCCATACCTAGCTTGGATTTAGTCGACTATTCGATGACAACGGCACCAATATTATTTACTCAGTTATTTAACATGCTGTAGCAGCTTGACCCCATTTATTCCACCTCCAGAATTCGAAGCCGTTCGACCATCATTCACCCGTCGCTTTCTCTTTTCTCTTTTCTTTTCATTTTTCCTTTTTTTTTTTTTTTTTTTTTTTTTTTTTGGGCCCCTCCTGTCCATCGTATCCTTCTAGGAACCTGACCTAGGTATACCAAGTGTCCGCCATCTGTAATTCGCCTCCCTCCCCTCCTTTTTCACTCTTCTCATATCCTCTTCCCTTTCACTCAGTCCCTTCATCAAAATTCATACTTTTCTGTTTTGTCTGGGACTGCTCCAACTCTCTTTGTTTCCCCGCCCTGTCTCGTCTCAGACTACTCTGTTTGGTCGCAACCCACATGTTTCACCTTCGAGAAACCCCTGAAAACCCCCATTGGCCCCGTCAATGCTCTCTTCTTAATTTTACCATCGCTAATCAACCCAACCCAACTGTTCACTGACCCGCTATAGGCGATTTATAAAAAACAAATTAAATACTGATTTGTCTGCCTCTGGCGAATCCACCTCGTCATCGTTTTTCACAGCTCTGTGTGAATCCTCCCCTTGCAATCGTCTTGATCATCGCCCCTTATCTGCCCGTCGTCTCGTTCCCCCGTTCGTCTGTCTGATTGACTGATTGTCCGCCTGACTGGCGACGACAGCCGGCGATTTCGAGAAAGGAAGATAGAGTCTCGAATACGGCGCACCCTTTGTTCTCCACCACGTTGCCATTGCCAAAGTAGAAAAGATTTAAAACAGCCACTTCCGTGCAGTGTTGTGCCTGGCTGGGTAACTGTTTGATCAACAGATTCCCCCTGCTAGTTCTCAACTTCCTCCTGAAACCTGTTTTTGACCCCTTCTTTCTTTTCTCTACTAAAATCAAGATGTCTCTTGCCCCAATATTAGCGCCAGGTTTGTAAATGTCTATTTCATTTTATACCCTCCACACATTTTTCAAACACAACAACACAACAACACAAGAACAATACAACAAACACAACCCTCAATATCACCATACCCCCTAAGCACCTTGAATCCATGTGTATATCCGCAATCCTTCAACTCCCTGCAACCGTTGTGTCCAATGTATTGTCACTAGACGTTTCAGACTCCTGGCATCTACCCTTCAGAACCCCTCCAGCGCAAATTCGAGCCCTCAAAAAACCCCCACCTGTGTATCCAAACCCAAGATCTAGCTAACATCGTTTCATAATTAACCTTCCCAGACCGGCAATCGTCACCGGGATTGGCCGTCAATTTGGGATCCAACAATCCCTTTAGAAACCGTGCCGCGTCTCCCTCCATCACCACCACAACCAGCCCCCTCCCTACCCCGCGACCACGCCCTGTGTCCACAAACCCGTTTCTAGACAACTCAGAAGTCTCATTACCACTTTTTTCTCGATCCATTGGGAATATGTCACCGCGGAAATCTTCACCTGCAGATCCTCCATTGACTGGGCATGCTGCGGAACTCTTTGTACGTGCATTTAACCCCTTAACTAAGAATGTACAAATCACGCCATCAACGATTTGTTTCGTTCGCCTTCTAATACATGACGGATTGCGTTTGTAGGAAAACCTCTGCCTCGACAAACCATCCAACTCACGGGAAAGACAAACCCAACCACGAAGAGAAAACATCCCCCCAAAGGGACTCTCCGACGATAAGCCCACTCGCCGTCCCAATCGACAACCATCGAAAGAGGAACTCCTGTCGCGCAACAAGGGAAAGACTCGCTTTGTTGCTGGAGACATCTTCTCAGATCCAAAGGAACCCTCGAAAACTCGCAGCCATCGACGACCCCGACGCAACTCTGAGTCCTCCGTAATGGACTTGCCTTCAAAACCCCTTGATCCCGAAGAGGAAAGGCGAAGACGTGAAAGAAGACAACGAGAACGTGATGCTAAATACAAGGATAAGGACGGCAAATCTCGTAGCAGGAGAACAAATGGTCATAAACTTGATGTGATCGATAAGCTGGATGTTACCGGCATATATGGAACTGGCCGTAAGTGTGATCTGACTGCTCTAATTTACTAACTATTCCCACTGACGTGTAAATCTTTTGTCCTGCTTGAAGTCTTCCACCATGATGGACCTTTCGATGCATGCAATCCTCATCGCAACCGCAAAGGATCGCGAGCTGCTCCAATTAAGGCATTTGCAAAGGATTCGAGAAACATGGCAATTGGTGGGGCTGGTCCTAATAACAGCAATATCGATCTCAATCTCTTCCACGGACGAGGAGCTGAAGGATATGCAGATTATTCAAGCACTGGTCTGTCCAGCAGCAAAATTGGCCAAGGCGACAGCTTCGACCCGACAGCCAAACTGGAGCCAATTCATGGGGCTGAAAGTATGGGCTTGGGAACCAGTACATTCCTCGAAGGTGCTCCCGCAAGCCGTGCTGCCATCCAGCGGCGTCAGAGTGAGAATGAGGCGCAGGCCTTGCAGAATGGAGGAATACAGCGGAAGAAGAGTCTAGCACAGAAAATCCGTGGAATAAACAATCGCGAAAAAGGTACCCGCGTTATTTCAACGGAATTTCTCTCTGACAGCGGCAACAACAATACTCAAGCCAGCCCACCCCGATCATCCAATTCCAAGCGGCATAACGAGAGGAGCCCATTTTCCCAACAGCATGACTATGACGATGCGTATGATAAGAAGAGCGCCAAGATTCAGTTACTTTCTGATGATGCCCTGGCAGATAGCCTCCCCGCGACCAGGCAACGATCAACGAGTAGCCCTAAGGTTATTCCGGGCGAAAAAAGAATCACTGCTGAACGGAGCTCGAGCATCGGTGGCGGTGAAGATGCAAAGACCCCTGGACATGCTGTTAGTGGTAGCGGTGGCTTTATCAATCGAGTCAAGAGTTTGAGAAGGCCTCCGCAGCCTAAGAGAAGGGTGACTAGTGAGACTTCGCCTTGAGAGTTAAACGGATGTAATACTGCTACGGCTATTACAGTGGGCTGTGATGTGACGAGAACAGGGGTAGGTATATTTTTGAGAAGAGCATGGTTTGTATGCCTAGGCAGGCGAGCGAGCGTTTGAATTAGTGGGTGTCTCCACTGATTTATTGATATATTATTTATTTATTTGTCGTTTACTTACCTTGAAATGAGATTGTCCATTGGGGGTTTTCTTTTCCTTTTTAAGCTTTTATAGCCTTGAATGGCCATCCTTTGGGCACACTCTTTTTCATTTTTTACAGAGCACAGAGTTAAAAAGTCCTTCAAGTCCAGTTTTCTGACGTGGTTTGGCTGTCGTTTTCATGTTTTCTTTTCCTTTTTTTTTTTTTTTTTTCCCTCATATTTTCTTACCACTGGCTCTTCTTTTGCATGTCTTTCTCCTCTTCTTCTTATGCATTTTTCCCCTTGTGTCATACTTAGCAAAAAAAGATAGTTAATTTAATATTTCTCTCTTCGTCCCGTACACACACACACCCCATTTCCCCACTGTGAACTATTGATTCCCCTCCTCAGTTTGATTAGGGTTGGTTGCTTTTAATTACTTTTCAAAGTCTTCAACTCTCTCCTCTCTTCTCCTGCCATTCCCTTTTACCCCTTCCGTTTCCCTTGCCCCTTTTTTCGAACTGATTAGGTCTTTACTTCTCTAAACCTATTCGATGTGTCAATTCATACTACCAGTGAAGTCTGCGTTTTGGACAACTATAGAATCTGTAGGAACTTCTCACGAGTAATTATCCATGGTCGTCTTTAATAATTTTAAAAAATTTATATCTCTCTAATCTTTCCGCGAAGGTCAAAAAGTTCATCGATGGTTTTTCTACTTTTTTGCAGCAAAGAACTAGTAGCTTATACTCCTTTGTCAAAGTTCGGATGTGAGCTGCGTGAACAGGCCCACCGAATGAGCAGAGTTGGTGGCTCCTCAATGGATTCTGGGGGAGAGGGCTTGATGAGACCAGGCGGTAGAGTTCTCCATAGAACAGGGAGGGTAGAATTGGAATTCACTCGAGAAATCTTCCAGTCAATCTCATAACTGCCGGAATGATTTGCACTCTTTACGGCTTTTGATTCCTCCTTGAGCAGCAACTTTGATATTGTCAGCCCATATATCCAGCCGCGGAAACCTTCGGCTGAAACTAGGTAATCGCATACAACGATAAACTGTCAAGGATAGACGGTTGTACTGCATATTTAACTAACTTCATATAGGTAGTTGACTGTTCTTTGGAAATCCAGCTTCCAGCTTCCCCGAGAGCCCCTCTCCTCATGTTCAGATAGACTTCTCAAGCATCTAGGATCTCTCCTTTTGCCTCCTACACCAAGCCTATAATACTTCTAAAAACAGTTTCATTCATAAATCCCTAGGTATATCCTTTAAATTGCAAATAAGAGGAAAAGAGAACCATGCCCCTAACAATTCACCACCTCCACTCCTCCCAATCCGAACGCATTCCCTGGCTCTGCGAAGAACTAAACATTCCCTATGAGCTGAAAACTTACAAACGAGATCCAATCTTTGCTCCGCCCGAGTATAAAACCTTGCACCCTTCTGGTGCCGCTCCTGTCATTCAAGATACTCTTCCCACCAACGACGGTGATAATGATGCAGAACCGCAAACCCTAACCCTTGCCGAAAGCTGCGCCTGCGTGGAGTATATCAGCCATAAATATGGGAATGGGAGATTATTCCTACCCCCAACACATAAAGACTACGCAAACTTCCTCTACTGGTTCCACTGGGCGAATGGGACTTTTCAGCCGCTGTTGGGACGGCTTTTGACAGTGGAGACCATCATCGGCAGTATCAGCGGCGGCAGCAACAGCAGCAAGAGTGAAACACAGAACAAAACTCTTGGTTCCAATCCCCTGATTGCCCTCTGGAATGGCAGGAGACAGCGGGCGCTGGGGGCGCTGGACCAGCGATTTAAGAAAAGGGACGAAGGCGGCGATGAGGCGACATGGTTGGCTGGTGAAGAGTTTACGGCGGCGGATATCATTGTTGTGTTTTCACTGACGACTTTCAGGTACTGGTATCGATATAGTTTGCAGGAATATAAAGGGATTTTGGGCTACTTGCAGAGGATTGGGGGGAGAGAGGGGTATAGGAGGGCGATGGGCCGAGCGGACCCAGAAATGACGTTGGTGTTGGGTGCAGAGCCCCCGGTGAAAGCGTGATGTCATTAGTTAGTTGCATCGGGCCATGAAGGGGATTCATTAATAAGAAGGGAGCGGATATCCTGTGGATGTTACGTTCAGAGACAATGGAATGAAATTAATAGATACGGAATGTATTGAAAAGTGTTGATTTTGCCTTTTTCGTAGCAATGAGAGCATCCGTATAGCGTAGTCGACTCCCTCGGTGAAGACCGCGGATAATGTAAACCGCGTGTCTGTGTTCGTATGGACAGCATGCTGTACTTCCCGGGGAAATCAGAGTCCTTAAGGAAAAGAGGGGAATCAAAAATTTTATTCTTGCCAATTGGTAACCTTCATCCATTCTACAATGGATGAATTGATAACACACTATCTAAGAAGAGGGCTCTAATGTACATGGACAGCATAATATACAAAAACTGGATAAAAAATTACAAACCAAGATATCTTCCACCGCATATCACATAAGTAACTACCATTTCTCCATGCAAGCGGGCGAAAACGGGCGCACCTAAAGCCAATACCATACCGCATTGGCAACATACCTCATCACCCTCCACTAAACATCTATATGCAATTCCCCCACCATTGCACCAAAAGGGGCAAACGGTACACAAGCTGACCATGAATCCATATAAGCCTGCTTCGCACTACTTCTCCTTTTGTAAGTCACCGCTATCACTCGCAGACGTTGCAGTGTAAATGCCACTATTATTTTCAGTTATCGCCGCACATCCATCGGCTTCTGCTCCGTTGCTTGTGGTAGTTGAGGAGCGGTTGGGATTACCACTGTGCAGGGCGTCTTCTTGCCAGAAATTTTTTCTCCTGTTTTCGTGTGAAGAAGAGTCGGTCAGTCTATCGTTGGAGCATGGTGGGAGAGAGAGGAGCAACATATAGGGAGGAAAGATTAGGAAAAGCAAAACCAGAGATGAAAAATAAAATATAGAAAAAAGGAAAAAAGGAAAAAATACCCTCGCAACAGCCGAACGACCCACCCCGGCAGGAGCCCACCAGAAACCCTCCATGTCCACGGCTCTTTCAGATTCTTATTATGAGGCACAATGCGGCCTCCTGATGCTCTCTCGATAACCCACGCCACCGTGTTCAGCAGCAGATATGACATGATGCCCCCAATGAGCCCATACGCGATCGAGTACGTGAACGGCATGACTGCCAGGGTGATAAACGCAGGTACCGCATCACCGATATATGACCAATTGATTTCCGATGCGACCTTGATCATCATGGAACCGACCAGGACGAGCGTGCAACCTATCGCCCAAGGCGGGATGGAGGCGAATATGGGCGCAAAAAAGATCGCGATGAAAAAACAGATGCCCGTGACCATGCTGGTGAGTCCCGTGGCGCCGCCCTCGGCAATACCCGCGCCTGACTCAATAAAGGCCGTTACGGGGGACAAGCCCATAAGGGAGCCGATGGAAATACTCAATGCGTCGACAATGTAGGCGACAGCAGATCCTTCAAAATCCTGTGTTCTCTCGTCAATTGCACCGCAGTAGCGTGCCATGGAGTAGAGGGTGCCGGTTGCGTCGAGGATGTCGACGTAGAGGAAGGTTATAAACGCCAGACCGAATTGGCTGCCGGCTTTCCTCAGATCCCAGTCCTGAGCTACAAGAACCTTTTCGATGGGGTGGAAGGTGACCACTTTCTTGAAGAAGTCGAACGAATCGTCTCCCTTGGGGGTGTGGGGGAAGTAGGTGACACTCGTCGGGCGGGGCCAGGAAATGATGGACACAAGTAGAATACCGACGATGATAGCCCCCTTTACACGGTACATCAGGAGGAAGCAGGTGAGGACACCCCCGCAGAATAGACCGACCCACAGCGTTGGGTTGCGCATTCTAGCTCCGGAGGGGCAGATACCATTTACCATTTCACTTTCCAGACATCCTGCAAGGGTTATGGGAGTGGCTTTGTCACCCGTGACGGCTCCAATACCAGCACTGTAAGTTAATCCAATGAGAGCTAGCGGAACAAAAAGGGCAGAATCGTTAGTCACTACAGGAGAACTGCACACTGGACAGAGGAGAATATTATCGGGATCCAAAACATACATAGATACAATCCAATACCAACGCTTGAAGCAAGCTTAATCGATCTGGGAATAGCCCTTGCAAGCCATTGGCGCATACCAAATACTGACAGACCCACAAAGACAAACCCTTCGACAAAAACCGCAGTAAGAGCAAGCCGGTAAGGAACAGGGCCAGAGCCACGAGATCCAACGACGGTATACGTGAAGTATGCGTTCAAGCCCACTGTAAGCGTGGCAGCAAGGTCAACAAGAGTATATCTACAACCAAATGGCAGTGGTTTTTCATTTTCACAGAGGAGAGATGCGTACTTCCAGGAGCGAGCGCAATTGGCATATTGGCAAACAGGCCCATGCAGAATGACGAAAGGGCAGCCATTGCCGCAGTAGCCGTAATAAAATCTCTTCTGAGCGAATTCAGACAGAGGTCGTATTCTGTGTTTCCAATGCATGATTTGTTGGCGGGATCGTTGCAGACACAGGTTCCGCCGGATTCAGTTAGGATGGTGGAATTGACCTTTATGTGCGAAGGTTTAGTTCACTATTTGATTTCCGTTTTCCTTTTTTTTTTTTTTTAAAAAAAACTTATTTCTTTCTTTCTTTTCTTTTTTCTTTTCTTTTCTTTTCTTTTCTTTTTTTTTGGCAGCAGCGCCGCAATGGTGATAGAGCAAGCGGGGGATACGCCCAAAAGCCAGACTGGAGGGCTGCATACAGATATAATGTAGGCCATGGCAAAGAAGGTGGTGAGGCCCGCCCGGACCTCAGTTAGGAAACGGGTTCCTTTCCGCTCATATCGCTAGGAGATGGTCAGCCTGAATACTTCATTTCCTTTTTTCTCTTCCAATTTCCCCCTCTTCGTGTGCTATCTTGCTTACATGGCCAGACCCTTCCAACCTGAAGCGGCGGCCGACAAAGCTCTCTGCTACGGCACGGTTGATGACGGAGGGCCAATTCTTCATTGTGAACGGCAGTGCCGGAGGCAAAGCGGGTTAAATACACGCTCCTCGAAGAGTGTCCACCGGGAAAGAGGACGGACAAGAACGAGAGGAAAAAAGAATGAAGCGACTACTTCGCGTCGAAAAAGACAGGAAGGGAGGGAAAAGCAAACGAGTGCTGCTGCAGGTATCTAAGTAGCGCCCCGCATCTGGTTATTATCTTTCTCCGAGAGATCGACACTGGTTGCCATGTCATAGTATATTAACTAACAAATTTCGAGCGGGATCTGTCTGGCAATAATTTTTTTTTTTTTCCTTGCTTTTTTCCCACTCTCGTCCATTACTTTTTTGCAAAACGTGCAAAAATTTTGTTAGTGTTTATTCTGCCGTTGTGTGGGATATCTATCATACGGCCTGGCTTAGTTATCTTTTCACTTCAAATATCTTACGCAATCCGCCCGGAAAAAACAGGTTAGTTTCCTTCAAACATCCCTAGGTGGCTTGCTGCCCAACTAGCTGAGAGCTAAATGCGATAAATGCCGGGTGCAGATTCAACCAATGCCGTGGCTGGGTGGTGAAAAGCTTGTGGGTTCTAGGGTTTCTTCCATCAAACTCAAAGCTGTCTGTATAGAGGGCAACTTACTCCAACGCCGTTATCAAACGTAGATCGCCGTCGTCCCGTTAAAGCCATGGGCTTGTCTCTCAGGGCGAGGTCAGAGCGGACACCCAGGAGCCAGAGATCGATAATGCGGGGATGTGAAAGACGAAATTTGGGGAAATGACCACAGGTGTTTTAAGTTAGTATCTTTGACTTGGAGAAGTGCAGATATCCTTGATTTCCCTATCTCTGATTGAGATACCAATGCCGAGGTCATGACCTAGAAATTCAGCGAGGCTAGAACATATTATCAATGGCTGAAATGCAATTTGCTATTATTGGAATATCAAAAGAAGACCTGCATAGTTATATTTGCATTGCGATAACGCGGGTCCGTCCTTACACACATGATAGCTTAGCCATGTTTCTTGGGTCATTTGATCACACCAATTGCACCCGACTGTGGCAGTCGGTGTGTCCGGTCCCTAGGAGTTGTGGATTGTTTTTGAAGGTGGGGATTTATTGAACCAGCCTACTCCGTTAAACGGAGCATTGAACAGTGTAAACGACTCTCGATTCATCATGCGCTAATTCTCTGTGGCGCAGGTTGGAAATTAGCTAAATGGGTAAAGCATGGAAAGATTTTATTATATTTGAGCAAGCGGAGGGGATGTTGCAGATTGTTATCCTGCCAAACTCCACATCTGGCAGCTGGCAAAGCATATGGATGATATCTGTATATTGAGGTTCCGGTCGAAGTAGCTGATATCGTTTCTCTATCGTGTTTAGTCCGTGAACGCCTCCACAGCAAGTTTCCCCGGAGGTCTTGTCTGAGAGATATCAAGATATATACAAATATATATATGTCGACGTACATGGTTAGTTACCGTTGTCTAGGATAACCAGGTTCATATGTACGTGAACTCAATATCCGGCAATGTGGCCCCGGATAGGGAGCCTGGACTTTGGTATAATTATATTCGTTAGAAAAAAGACACCTACAGCAATTGTTCTCGACAAAATAACACCCAAAATTAGGGAGTGGTGAGTGTAAGAACGGAGAAGGCGAAGAAAAAGGTGGGGATGGGAATGAGAAGAAAAAATATGAATCCAATGCATCATCCGTGAATCGAACACGGGCCTCATCGAATCCGAACGCCGCTAGAAACAGCGGTGGATGGCAACGATGAATTCTACCACTAGACCAATGATGCTTGCTTGGTTGGAATAAGGAAATTGTCCTACTACATTACTGCAGATCAGCAGTACAAGTCCCTAAAAAACATTGGTCATAAAATAGGGCTAGTTAGTTAATTAATTAACTAACTAGTTAAACGTTAGTTAAACTATTTAATTAGTTGCGAGACAACTCATGCCAGTCAACGTGTTATGCTCGGGAATGCTCAAACAACGGGGTAACTTTTACACTAATTGAGCAAACAGCCAATATTTCTCCAATACTATATAAAGCCACCAAAAAATATTTCAAGATACCCTAAGTTAATCCCTCAAAATGCCCGTGGTGTGCAGCCGCCGTCGCGCTGTAGGTCGATGTTCCCCCCTTTCTCAATACCCTCAACAAGCTCAAGTCGCACAAAACAAAAGGTACCTAACCATCCTATTAACCTCTTAACCCAGCCCGTTGAAGAACCCGGTAACGATGAAGTCGATAATAATGACTCTTCCGACGCTTCTTCCTATTCCACCCCACAATACCGCAGTCAAGCAAAACGACAACGGCGCCAACCCTCTGATTCCGACTCAGCTGCCTCAGAAGATGACGGGTCCGGCCCCGAACTCTCTACCCATGCCAACAGAGCCATAGATATCATGGTCAAGAAGCTCGTGCGACTTGCGCTGGCAAGCGAGTATTCCCGACAGGTGATCCGGCGGACTGATATCAGAGATAAAGTGCTCGGTGAGCAAGGGGCGCGACAGTTTAGAAACGTCTTTGAAGGTGCGCAGATGGAGTTGAGGGAGAAATTTGGCATGCAGATGGTTGAGCAGCCCCTGAGGGAGAAGGTGACAATTAGTCAGAGGAGAGGTGTGTATTTATATCCCCCTTTTCCTCCTCTCCCTGTTGGCCATTTTTACTTCTAATAATTTAATTCTTTGACTAACTATTCCCAACCCAAAAAAGCTGCCCAACGCACCGAACGACCCTCCACAACTTCAAAAACCTGGACCGTCATAACCACCCTCCCACCCGCCTTCCGCACTCCGACAATTCTCCCCCCAGCCAAGGCCCCTTCCTCCATCACCGAAAGCACCTACACCGCCATCTACACCTTCATAATATCCACCATCATGCTCTCTGGCGGCTCAATACGAGAGCAGAAACTGGATCGTCTCCTGCGTCGCGTTAATGCGGACAATTTCACCCCCATTGAAAGGACGGATAGACTGCTAGCACGCCTGTGCAAGGACGGCTATATTGTACGAAATCGCGAGGTGGATGGTGGGGAGGAGGTCGTGGAGTATCTTGTTGGGCCTAGAGGCAAGGTCGAGGTGGGCGTTGCTGGCGTGTCGGGGCTGATAAGGGAGGTTTATGGGTTTGGTAATGGAAGTGGAAATGGGGATGGGGATGAGTGTGCGGCTAAGACGCAGGGGGAGGTAGAGGTTTTTGAAAGGAGGTTGAAGAGAAGTTTGGGGATTAGGGAGCCGGTGCGTTCTGAGAGGAAGGAGGAGAATGGTGATGGTGATGGTGATGGTGATGACGATGGTGATGACGGTGATGAGCGGTGATGATGGGTTTGTTGTGTTTCAATATCCTACGTCTCTTTTCCTCGCTTCCTTTTTCTGACCGTTCTTCTACACGGATGTTTGTTTTTATATCCCCTTTTCTTTTCTTCTAGGAGTCTGACTTGATGTTATATGATACAATCTTGGGCGTATGTCATCCTTTAATTAACGTGATCCACCATTTCTCTTTTCCTTTATTCTAGCCACCCCGTTAGACTACAAAGCGCAATCTGAGTGGTGAACTAAAGGGGATTTTTCCACTGGCCGAGGGGATGGGGAGAAGCAGAAATTGGTAAGAGGTGACGAAACTTGGTAGAAGATATCCAGATATTGGGTCGTGCCCAAGCCTGTTCATCACACAATCCTCTATTCCATATATGTAGCGTAACTATAGCTCTATAGACAGGGCTCCATGAGCGTGTTGATGCATGGGTGGGTTCGTTCTGGGATGAAAACCAAAGAAGAAAACATAAGGGGCCGAGGTGAAAATTGAATCCAGGAAAAGAACAAGGGAAACTAGATAGATTATCTCGTGCTGAAAGCAACAAAATATACAGGGGAGTCTAAAAGAAAAAGGGAGAAATATATATAAACGGAGATACCAGCAAAGGATGTACGCATGCTTAAAGCAATTTCCTTCCCGTTTACTTCTTTCTCTGGTAACCGCAAATGCGTGATTGTTCTAGGATAAAAAAGCAAGGTAGATGGAGAAAGACAAAAAAAGAAAAAAGAAAGAAAGAAAGAAAGAAAAGGAAAGAAAAGAACAACAATAACGGAATTCGTAAACAGATAATCAATCCTTCCACACAACGCCGCCCATCCCGCTTTCCATATGCTAAAATAGAGAACGAAGCCAGCCAAGGGGTCTTCCCCAGCTAACTTCCCCTTCCCTTCCCTCCACAATGCCTCATTCAGAATCACTCGCACTATTTTCACCCTCCCCCCCTTCACCTTCACTGCCATCATCCGCATCATTCTGCGCCGCCAGTCCCTCATTAAGCAGATATTCCGCCCGCCTTAGTTCCTTGCGCACCTCTTCGGGCACCATATCTGGCAAGCGGGAGGGGGTGTCGCCGCGCTTATTCGGGACACGGGGGTCACAGCCCGCTTCGCACATCATCTTTATCATCGTGATGGCGTCGGTGGTGGAATTGTATCGGCTTTTATCGCTAGCGTAGCGAGCAGCGAGGTGGAGGGGTGTTTCTTTGTCGAGTCGGGTTTTGGGGTCGCATTCGAAGAATTCGATATCGAAGAGGAAGTCTGCTGCGTGGTCTGTTTAGGGTGCAGCGGAGGGGGGGTGGGTGGTTAGGTAGGTTTGTTGTGAATATACGGGGTATATATATGAAGTATGGTTGATGATATAATAATAAAGATGGGTAAGAAAAATAACTACTCACAACTGCCATGCATCGCACAGATATGGAGGGCATGATTTCCCAGAGGGTCCGTAACGGCATTGAAGAATTCAGCAATTTCAGTATTTGTTTTCTTTGCGTTTTCCATATCTGTCAGGACTTCCTCTAGAGCTTCTACGTTATCTTCTCGGCAGGCAGCGGAAACTCTCTCTGCAGGACTGGCACCCTAGTTTCCAGAAATCAGGTTATGTTGGCTTGATTAATTTGGTATGTTGAAAGCAATATAGGATTGACATACCTCATCATCAGCTTCTTTGTTATTTGCCATGACTCGTGTGTGTATGATATCAGTTTGTTGCTGCACGCTCAGTGTTTATCAAGAGAGGGGTGTCTGAGCTCAAAGAAGGCCTAATCTGTGAGAATCGTAACTACTTGAAGGAAATGACTCAAATTCCTATCAGATTAGCAATGAGCTGAATAGGGTACAATTCAAGACAAACAAGGGGAAAACACTTACATTGAAGCCTTGAGCTTTGAAGACTAAGAGGCGGGGATGAGAACAGGGCGGGGAGCAGTAAATGATTAGGATGGACTAAATCAGCTAAGATAGCGGTACACGCAGCAGTAACCAGAGTCACCAGAATGAGTGTTATCTTGGCATTCCCAGACCAGCTAATGAGAGATTTTTCATATATGCTATAGTCTTTATTTTTATTTTTATTCGTTTTTGTTATGTTATTTAGATATTTAGATAGCAAATCAATTCAGGGCCGGTCAACTTCGCCATCCTATCCGCAGGAACAAAGATATTCCGCTCCCACATAGTGTGTTTCAAAAATATGTCGCGCCTGTTCAAGTTATTTCTATAGCCGAGATAGCCGCGCGGGACATTTCAACTCGCTGGGGCCGATGTCTCTTGACGATGAACAACAGAATGTAATGGGCCCACGGATTTCGTTTTTTGGATTTGCTCGGTTTAGATATGGTTCTGCTATCTACTCATATGTATATGTAGCTGGGCTGGCGTTGATTTCTTTCCCGGAAATAACAGGGCATAACTCCTGGCAAATATAAAAATGCCCTTAACCTGTGCGTTCCATTCTTTAGTGTATTCCATATTTGTCTAATGACTCGCAACGATCTTCCTGACCGGGACCGTCTATATATATCAGTTTGCCCAAACTGCAGCAATGCCCTCACCATTTCCCGCGCAGAGCCCACCTCCCGCTATCCTCTGGGCGTGAACAGATTCGAATGCCGCACCTGCCCGTACCAGTACATTCTCGATCGGACGTACTACGAACGAACAGAAATGAAGCGGAAGGAGGTTGCGGATGTGCTGGGAGGAAAAGATGAGTGGAAGAATGCTGATAGCATAGGAAGTGAGCCTTTCACCGCTGCAGTATATTCTGCTGCGGTTCCCTTCCACGCAAGCATATATCATTCTCTGGGATATTTATCTTCTAGGATTCCCCGTAATACCTGCTGAGTACATGTGTATACTGATGATTGGTCGTCATATGATATAACAGCACAATGCCCCGCTGAAGGCTGCGATGGTGACCGGGCATTTTTCTATCAGTTGCAGATCCGAAGTGCAGATGAGCCAATGACCACGTTTTTAAAGGTATGGACTACAGTTTACCCTCGTCATTCCAAACCCCGCCTTAGCTTTTGGGGATTGAAGCATTCAATACTGAGTTTGCAACAATTACAGTGTACTACGTGCGGGGCTCGATGGAGAGAAAATTAAAGATAGACATGTGTTGTCTATCTATTTAAGATATACATACAGCGTTTGCTGCATTGCGCTGCTTGCATTGTAGTTGTTGTTTCGATTTTGAGGAGCTGTTGGTCTTCTGTTGTGTGATGGATCAGGCGCATAGCGTAGTGTGTTCTCTTTTCATGGGAACTGAGATCGGAGCATGGGTACAGACTGGTGGAGGGGTTTCTTATAGAGTCTTTCTCTTTTTTTATATTGCTATTTTTCTTTCTATAAATATTGCTTCTACATAGAGAGCCATACTTTATAGCTAATACTATGTATCAGATATCAACAAATATTATTTTAAGATCTGCCCGCGGAAAAATATCTTCAATGTAATAACTAATCGGTTACATGTATCACTGATGACTGAGAACCATGGGAAAGAGCATGCAGTTAAATGTAAAGAGGCTGATGAAAGGTCGCTTTAGAAGTTCAGCCCCTTCCATGAAACAACAGTAGTTGGAATATTATAGTAAATGAAGTAGTCGAGCATGATTGATGGTAGTAGGGAGGGAGAAAGAAAAAGAGGTACCGCTTAATTTTTCATGCCAGCGCAATGCCAAACCCTGGATGCGCCAGTGGGCAATTGTTTTCGCCCCAATGCTCCCCCAACAAACGGCCATGGGGTGAGATTTCATGAAAAAATAAGGCAAGAGACAAGAGAACAAACAACATAATAAACTTGGGATAAAGGTAGATAACTCGGAAGCCAGGGGAGGGGCCTTTGCTATGGTACATCATTACATACCAGCGGACTGAATTTTTTTCGTGGCATAACCAAAGCAAATAACCTAGTTAACTATAGTAAGTTACCGTGCGAAAGAAAAGCGGGAAGTTGGGGGGAGGGCAGAATCTTTGTCGTTTAAACACCACGTGACATCCGAAAGGGGCCTAGCGCAATGCAAGTTTTCGCCTAGCGCGAACTCGCCTCCAGGCTCTTCCACTGAAACCATACAAAAACCCCTCTTCCTCGCACAAAAATCCTTTTTCTTTCTCCTTTTCTCTCCCCCGTCTGCTTCAGTACGTATTTCCCCTCCATTTTCCATCATCACATCCATTTCTATCCCCCTACACGCATCTGTTCCTCCTCTCAAATTCTTCTATCACCCTCTTCCAAATTTCCCTTGCACTCATCCGCCTAATTCTCGTAGCAATTTCCCTCTCCTGCTCTACCATATATCTCGCTCACTTTTCATCTAACTAACTTTCACATCAGCACCTCTACGCATTTCTGGCCGTAGTATCTGAGCGTTCTCCTGATCTCTTCTAGTCTCTTCCTAAGAACTACAAGAAATCAACCCTTTCCAACTCCTTTGACTAAAACATCCAAATACCTTCACAATGGGGTAAATTCATCCATCTTTCCCATCTACCCGTTTCTCTCTTATATGCAAGTCTACAGTCGACTAACTGACACCTATCTTCTGCTCTGCAGTAAGGAAGAAAAGACTCACATTAACCTCGTCGTTATCGGCCACGTCGATTCCGGCAAATCCACCACAACAGGTAAGCACCCTACTCGATAATCTCTCGAGCCTCGCGGTACACCTTTCTGTCGAAACGCATACTAACATAACTTGTCTCTAATAGGTCATTTGATCTACAAGTGCGGTGGTATTGACAGCCGTACCATTGAGAAGTTCGAGAAGGTAAGAAATCTATGATACTGAGAAGCAAAAAACTTTCATTTTGCTTCCACCCTTGTTCTGTTACCCCTCCTGTTGCGGTGAGATTCTCACTAGTGCGGTGACTCAGCCTTTTTTGGTGGTGGGGTAAATTTTGGTTGTTGTGTGGCATAGTCCTAGCGGGGCTTTTGCGATGGATGCTCCGCACAACACCCATGAAAACTGCCTCTCTGGGCAGGACTATAAGGTCGCCTAACCACCCACGAACCACCTTATTGGCCTCCTGCTATGCCTTTACTCTTTTTAATTGTTGTGAAACGTTTACATTGCTTTGAATTTTTTTTGTCTGTTTCCCGTGCCTATTTGCTAACTATATGATTACAGGAAGCCGAAGAGTTGGGCAAGAAATCCTTCAAGTATGCATGGGTTCTTGACAAACTGAAGGCTGAGCGTGAACGTGGTATCACCATCGATATTGCTCTCTGGAAATTCGAGACCCCCAAGTACAATGTCACTGTCATTGGTGAGCCTCATTATTATGCTTCTCGTACCTCTTCATATATATCTATTTTCTAACATGCCCCATTTAAAGATGCCCCTGGCCACCGTGATTTCATCAAGAACATGATCACTGGTACTTCCCAGGCTGATTGCGCTATTCTCATCATTGCTGCCGGTACTGGTGAGTTCGAGGCTGGTATCTCTAAGGATGGTCAGACCCGTGAGCATGCTCTGCTCGCTTTCACTCTAGGTGTGAAGCAGCTTATCGTCGCCATCAACAAGATGGATACCACTAAGTGGTCCGAGACCCGTTTCAATGAAATCATCAAGGAAGTCACCAATTTCATCAAGAAGGTCGGATATAACCCCAAGACTGTTCCTTTCGTTCCCATTTCTGGTTTCGAGGGTGACAACATGATCGAGCCCTCCGCCAACTGCCCATGGTACAAGGGCTGGTCCAAGGAGACTGCCCAGGGCAAGTACTCTGGCAAAACCCTTCTTGAGGCCATCGACGCCATTGAGCCCCCCACCCGTCCTACCGATAAGCCTCTCCGTCTTCCCCTCCAGGATGTCTACAAGATCTCCGGTATTGGAACTGTTCCTGTCGGACGTGTTGAGACTGGAGTCATCAAGCCTGGTATGGTCGTGACCTTCGCTCCCGCCAACGTCACCACTGAAGTCAAGTCCGTCGAAATGCACCACCAGCAGCTTACCGCCGGTAACCCCGGTGACAACGTCGGTTTCAACGTCAAGAATGTTTCCGTCAAGGAAGTCCGCCGTGGTAACGTTGCCGGTGACTCCAAGAATGATCCCCCCAAGGGTTGCGATTCCTTCAATGCCCAGGTCATCGTCCTCAACCACCCTGGTCAGGTTGGCGCTGGTTATGCCCCAGTCCTCGACTGCCATACTGCCCACATTGCCTGCAAATTCGCTGAGCTCCTCGAGAAGATTGATCGTCGAACCGGAAAGTCTGTTGAGAACAACCCCAAGTTCATCAAGTCCGGTGACGCTGCTATCGTCAAGATGATTCCTTCCAAGCCCATGTGCGTTGAGGCTTTCACTGAGTACCCCCCTCTTGGACGTTTCGCTGTCCGTGACATGAGAAGAACTGTAAGTTTAACTTTCCCTCCGAACCTCCACCGGTCAACACTCTCTGCCACTCTTTTGCTAATAACTCTATTTTCCATAGGTTGCTGTCGGTGTCATCAAGTCCGTTGTCAAGTCTGACAAGGCTGGTGGTAAGGTTACCAAGGCTGCCCAGAAGGCCACCAAGAAATAAACCTGACAACCACACCGTTCTTCTCTCTTAAAAAGACAATGCTTGGAGCAAGTAAGGGCACAATGCATGACCAGGTAACCTGATGGGACAAAGGGAAGGGCGTTGTTTTTTTCTTTCTTTTTCTAATCATCAATCGCCTGAATGAAAGCATATGT